ACAGACACACCAGGTGGACCGCCATTCTCCATCACAGACACACCAGGTACACTGCCAGTCACATGAACAGGTGGACTGCCATTCTCAATCACAGACACACCAGGTGGACCGCCATTCTCCATCACAGACACACCAGGTACACTGCCAGTCACATGAACAGGTGGACCGCCATTCTCAATCACAGACACACCAGGTACACTGACAGTTACATTAACAGGTCGACCACCATTCTCCATATCAGACACACCAGGTACACTGACAGTCACATGAACAGGTGGACCGCCATTCTCCATCACAGACACACCAGGTACACTGACAGTTACATGAACAGGTGCACCACCATTCTCCATATCAGACACACCAGGTACACTGACAGTCACATGAACAGGTGCACCGCCATTCTCCATCACAGACACACCAGGTGGACCGCCATTCTCCATCACAGACACACCAGGTACACTGACAGTTACATTAACAGGTGCACCGCCATTCTCCATCACAGACACACCAGGTACACTGACAGTTACATTAACAGGTGCACCGCCATTCTCCATCACAGACACACCAGGTACACTGACAGTTACATTAACAGGTGCACCGCCATTCTCCATCACAGACACACCAGGTACACTGACAGTTACATGAACAGGTGGACCGCCATTCTCCATATCAGACACACCAGGTACACTGACAGTTACAATAACAGGTGCACCGCCATTCTCCATCACAGACACACCAGGTACACTGACAGTTACATGAACAGGTGGACCGCCATTCTCCATATCAGACACACCAGGTACACTGACAGTTACATTAACAGGTGCACCGCCATTCTCCATCACAGACACACCAGGTACACTGACAGTTACATGAACAGGTGGACCGCCATTCTCCATATCAGACACACCAGGTACATTGCCAGTCACATTAACAGGTGGACCGCCATTCTCCATATCAGACACACCAGGTACACTGACAGTACCATGAACAGGTGCACCGCCATTCTCCATATCAGACACACCAGGTACACTGCCAGTCACATTAACAGGTGGACCGCCATTCTCCATATCAGACACACCAGGTACACTGACAGTCACATGAACAGGTGGACCGCCATTCTCAATCACAGACACACCAGGTACACTGACAGTTACATTAACAGGTCGACCACCATTCTCCATATCAGACACACCAGGTACACTGACAGTTACATTAACAGGTCGACCACCATTCTCCATATCAGACACACCAGGTACACTGACAGTCACATTAACAGGTGGACCACCATTCTCCATCACAGACACACCAGGTACACTGACAAAAAGGCAGCAGTTGAACTTTCTGTAAATTACACCAATAAAAAGCTGAAGTACAAATTTTTGAAAATCCACTAGAAAAAGATGCTGACGTATCCCTCACATTGAAGAATGGGTACATGGTAACCATGGTTACTGTTATTGAGAGGAAAGTAGTTACCATGACAATACATGCTTGTCCCCTTCTCCATTTCATATGTTTCCAGCAAAATGATTTCAAATATCAGGTATGTTCCCATCCATCTTGAGGAACACCGAGCGCCACGGCGGCCATCAGTCATGGTGAGGTATCCTAAAGCAAAGTCTAACATGGATGTTTCAAACACCGAGTGCAACACATCTCAACACAGTCTCCCTGGACAACAATATGATGGTTTCCTGCTTCATTAATGGCAATGGATCAACAAGCAGAGACCAATTTCCACACTCCAGGGTGGGACGTACATGCTGGTCCAATATGCTGGTCCACTGGACAGACGCTAGTCAATATCACGGAGGGCCATTTCTTCACAGTTGTCCAACTTGTCAGTGGAACCATGACCTGCAAGTCTGCATATTTCGCCTATGTTAATCAGGATGAAAGAACAGACACTGTTGACTACTTGACATAAAGATTTGACTAATATCAAAATATAATCTGATATTTTGTAGTTGTAAAAAACAATTCCTTGGGACCAGTGATTTTTCTGCAGAAAAATATATATGTTGAACCCTGCATATGAGACAAGTTTTACCCTATTGACAGACTCAAACATGCTCAAGAGAGGGATGACTCACATCGAGAGATATACAAAATCATCAAAGTCACAAAAGCTGATGACAATTATCTAAAGCATTTTCTAATTAGGTCACTAGTATCAAGGCCTGCAAACGACTCACAGCAGTCAAATGTCATCATAATGATGATATCCATTTAGTACCAAAAAGAAAGACACCAAATTAGTATTAAAGCTGGGACCCTCATGCTGTAAGCAAAGCAACAGGACCAATTCACAGATGGCAACATGCTGTATTACCCACAAGACTCTGCGGTATAGACAAAGGCCCCCAAATTTCCTGGCCTTCCCTGACATATTTTAAGGTACCCATGGCAACAGGCCAATCCACAGATAGCAAAATGATGTATTTCCAACAAAAGTTAACAGCATAGATAAACATGATAAAGGCCCCAAAATGGTCTGGCCTTCCCTGATATATCTCAAGGTAACCATGGTAACATGTTCTGGTGATTGAGCCATTGAGTACCCCCTAAGGCTTTAACATTTTTCCGGAGCCTTATCCAAATACAGTTGACATCATATACCACTCAAAAGAAGTTAAGGAACCTCATTCTTTCATATTACCGTAGTTATTATCGAGTTTTCTTTAACTTCTTTTGGGTAGTATATAAAGCAATCCAAGTTCTCTCAAAATCAGTGTTATAATCCAAGGTTGTCATTCATATTAACAGTATTTTGTAGTGCTAATTGTCACACATGGTCGAAGGGCGCCGCGATTTGCTGTGCAGAGTTGCGTCCCTTGGGCACACCAGAAACCTATGATTGTGGGTTCGAATCCCGGTTCGCCCCGATTATGTTTCTAGGCTTGTCAGCACCATACCCATGCTCGTGGGCTTCACCGAGTGGTAAACGTCTAAGACCTGCATCACTTCGGGCTTTCCTCCCACATTAAGCTAACACGCCATGATATAACTGGAATACTGTTAAAAGCAGCGTTTAACCCAACTCACTCACTCACACATGGGCGAGTAGATGTAGCTTTGTTACACCAGACTATTACATCAATATATGTGTTATATCCAAGTAGTTGTCCATTCAAACTGTTATACAAGTTATATCCAGCTTCGGTATGAACAAGAGCTGACAGGGCTATGATGAACCCTGGTCATCTACACCAACGCCCGCAAACTTAAGTATCCCTGTCAAGTAGAAACACGTGCCTGTAACACAGCATTCTCATTGGCTAAAATTCACCCACAAGACTTGATTGACAGATGTGGGTGGCTCTATTTCCTAGGCTGATATGTCATGATACATGCCGACACAAACACACACACACTAACTACGTATTGAAAGGTCACATGATATTCCGTAAGTGCAACAGCAACAAGACACTTTTCCACCACAAAAGAAAAACGTTGAAATAAACATTTTGAAAATATTTCAGTACGTACAGAACATAGACGGAGTTATGAAGTAACAACTGTAATATAAAAGACACTTAGTGTTAAATCAACATAGTAAAAGATTGCAAGTTGTGCTCGGAGGCTTTTTCAACAGCCTCTTCGGGAGGCAATTCCAACCTCCTCCCTGCTGCCTCAATACCTGGCTGTAGTGGTTAACATAAGTCAAGTGTTCAACTCATCTACGTCAACATAGACAAATACATTGCATGTAGTTTTGCTGTGACAGCCATTATCCAATCTTAGAGCTTCTCGTAACCATGGCAACAAAGATAATTATGAAACTAATAGACAGGTACAAACTGTACAAGGAATACAAATGTAGTTGAAAATATTCATATTCCATTGATACTGGGCTTCAGAGAAGGAAATCATCACCACAATTCAGGTTACCATGGTTACCAGAGACTATCGATCAGATTGGACAGAGAAACCTTTACAAAAATGCAACATAGGATGTTGAGATAGAACTTGTTGGAAGGATTGCCTTATTCCTGTGAGCATAAGTACAATAATCAATGCTGACTGATCAATGATAATCAAAGCTGATGTGTAGTTTTTAGCACTGTATTGATTAGCAATAACTCAATACTTCCTGTTTCAAGTTTTTTAACATAAACATGATAAATGCCCAAATTGCAATATGTACCAAAAAATGAAAAAGTATAAAACATGTCCTCAGTGCTACGCATACATGGATTCTGTAGCTCACGTGGAACCTTCTCAAAGTCTCCAACAGCATCATGGCTAATTACATTCCAACCAATTACATGTCACACTTAATGTAAGCCTCGGGTCATAGGTCATTTCAACACAGCTGAGCTGATAACAAAGTACATGTGTTGCCATGGATTCAAGTGTAATGACACCACCAGACATAGCTGATGATGCAATACTTAAATTATGTTCTTGAATTTGAATGTTTGTATTTACTCAAGATGAAAAACACCACATTTGAAATACATCAGGAAATAAGATGTCTTCAGCTGGTTGCAACTCGACCTGCTGTGTCACAGCTCTTGTCTTTCCATATCTAATAGCTTTCATATCATCATAGCATATACAGGGCTTGATCTAGCTGCATAAAACATGCACCAGTGAAACCTGTGACTGAATAGTGCAACCTATATTTGTGTCAACATGCACCAAGTGCTTGTAAAAAAATTCAAATTTGTGTCTAGCCCTTACTTTTCTTAAGAACAATATTTGAACACACTCGATACCTTTAAGCTTTATGTACCATATAAGATCACTAATCCCGGTATTACCGTATTCGACGTAATAAGCGCCCCGCTCTAATAAGCGCCCACGGCGATAATTGCTCATATATTGGCTAGTGAACACTCCCAATTAGCATCCCTTCCGATTGATCAATGTACACAAGACTTATTTATTCGCGCATAATACGCACTCGTGTGTTATATGCACCCTTAATTATGGGCAATTAAATTCTGAAAAAATATATCTGTCGTATATAAACATTTCAGTCTGTCAGCATAAACCACGATATTTATCTTTCAAATCTGTTTTTTCCACCAAAATAATATTCTTATAAGAGCCCCCTGTTTCTAATTTTGAGAGCGCCCTGGGCGCTTATTACGTCGAATACGGTATGTGTAATTTGTCACACTTTCTTGGGCTTGACGTCATCAAAATGTGGGTACTTGAAGATTAGGTACACATGTACATTTTGCAGCAATGCCTATAATTAATGTATAATCATGACACTGTCATTAGAAACCTGAGACTTTATTTATTTAGGCTTATGCATCTTTCAAATTTCATAAAGTTATGGGACCAGGGTGCAACTAGGTTGTCATTTCCTTAATCGATTTCCTTAAATCAAGCCCTGATACACTTTTTCAGACATCATCATAATCATATGTTCCACTTCTTAATATTCCATCTTGTATATACCAGAAAAAATATTTAATCTTATAATAGAAACATGCAAAATTATGGACACTATGAAATAATTAAAAACAGAATTTCACATAATAGCACTAGAGCCTGAATCTGAAATATGAGGCACCTATCTGCAGTTACTTTATAAAGCTTGTGTGAGGTAAAATAAACAACTGGTAAACTTTTAGGACGTGACACTTTTAGGACAAATCCTGGAGATTTACATGAGCTGTACACCATAAAAAGATGTATCCATGGCAACAGTGCCAGAGACGGGTTCTTACAGCTGATGACCTCTCATGATGTGAGAATAAAAACCATATTTGTTATAGCACTGCTTACCGCACACATTACATACAAAAGGATCAGTGTGACTGTGGCACCCAATGTGAATTGAAAACAAAACCTCATCTTCGAATGTCACGCCACAATGAGTGCACTTTGACCCCGGCCTCAGGAGTGGCTGGTCACCTTCGTTTGTGTCCGACACAAGACGTGTTGAAGATATCCGTCTAACCGATGACAACAACTCACACTGAACTGATCTCTCAACCAGGAACATCCTAGTGCGCCGCCGATCGTAATTATCATTTGACACTGCAGCACTTTCAGTCTTAATTGCAGGCATCGTACACTGTATTCCAATATTTGACATTTCTGTTTTGATATGTCGGTTTGTGAAGTGAACATCAACCCCTCCTCGAACATCCCGAGGGTCAATCACTTGTCGGATATCACGTGCTTCCATCGCTGATCGAACATCCCGCGAATCGAACACTGTGTGTATTTCACGGGTATCCGCAATGGGTCTGTTCTCATGAATATCTACCATTGAGCGAATGTCACGGGGTACGACAGATGGTCGAATATCATGTGACTCAATTGTTGAGCGAACCACATTCTGAGGCCTTACTGCCTCAGTCGACTTGACATTGTTAATTCCATGCTCACCAGATGGCGTTGCTTCATTATTGCGATCTCCAGCAGGAGCTGGTTCGAACATTTCCATCGAGAGTCTCTGTGTTGTTTGTGCCTCCATATGTCTTGGTGCATTGCTCCGCACTGGTGTAGCCGAACTCGACACATCCGATGCTCCGTCGCAATCTACTGGCTCGACCTTCACCTTCACCTCCTCTTCCGATGATTCCCCCTGTTGCTGCCTTGTTAAAGGGTGATTAAGGGGAGACAATCCCTGTGACGATTCTACAGGCGGTGGGAGATAGAAGCTGGATGATGTGATGGTGCTTGTAGCTGGCACCCGAGGCGTGTGATGGGTCGTGATGATGTTCGACACTATGGATCTCAAATAATCCGATGCCATGTGGTTTTCTTGCGCAACCCGCTGAGTGGGAACCTCGTAAGGCCGATACTGAGTGACACAGTTAGTCAATATCTGCGGCTCAGCCCTGGCAAACTGCATGCTGGGAGGAGCTGCCCCGAGTAACGTGTGAATTGTACCGACGGGCATGGCTGTCTGGGTGCACTGATTATGTGGGATTTCCATGTGGCGACCACCGAAGTGGTTGTCTCCATATGTCTGGATCCTGAGTGCCGTCGCCTCCTGCATCGGCTGCAGCGGCGGCCCGTAGTCCTCCCCGTGGTCCTGACTGTAGTGCTCCCGGATCTTACGAGGCAACACCGTGGAGAAGTCACACTTGCCACATCGGAGGACTGTGGCGGGGTTGTTCCGCATGTGAAGTCGCTTGTGGCGACGGAAGTTGCTCTTGTCATTCGTGGAGTAATCACACATCGGACACTTGAGGGCCTTCAAACCTGAAACACACAGAGACGAATGAAATACTGCTTCTGCTACAGTTCATGTTACACATCATCCTAACTTTTATCTGCCTTACCAAAGTAACCACGGAGATTTGATAGGAGTGAGTGAGTGAGTGAGTGAGTGAGTGAGTGAGTGAGAGCTTTGGGTGAGTGAGTGAGTGAGTGAGTGAGTGAGTGAGTGAGTGAGTGTGAGTGAGTGAGTGAGTGAGTGAGTGAGTGAGTGAGTGAGTGTAGTTTTACACCGCTTTTAGCAATATTCCAGCAATATCACAGTGGGAGAAACCAGAAATGGGCTTCACACATTGTACCTACGTGGGGAATCTGCCCCGGGTCTTCGGCGTTATGAACGCTTTAACAACAAGGTTATCCCATCACCCAAGATTTGAAAGGAAGAAAGTTTCTCTTTTGTGTCTTAGTAAGATTTTATTGGGGGCCAGTAATATTTTTGTTCAACAATCAGCATGACAACTACTTGGCTTGTATTACATTACCAACTAAAGCAAAACAAAATGCTAAATGTGTCATATATCACTAAAAGAATGTGACTTAACCATTCACTTAAATCCAATATAAACTGGTTCATAGCAACAAGGCAACATGCAACATGGAATACCATCACCAAAACAGCAGGGAAACTGTAAGCAAATATCATGATATGCATCATGGCAGGACTTATGTATCACCATATGCATCATATAAAGCCTCATGTATCACCATACGTATCATATAAAGACTCAAGTATCGGGATACGTATCATAGCAAGACTCAAGTATCAGGATATGTATCATATCAAGACTCGTGTAGAACCATATGTAACATATCAAGACTTGTGTTTCGGGATACTTATCATATCAAGACTCGTGTATCACAATATGTGTCATATCAAGACTCGTGTATCACAATATGTGTCATATCAAGACTTGTGTATAGTCATATGTGTCATATCAAGACTCAAATATCGGGATACTTATTACATGTATATCAAGACTCATGTAGAACCATACGTTTCATATCAAGACTCGTGTATAGTCATACGTATCATATCAAGACCCAAGTATCCCCATACGTATCATATCAAGACTCAAGTATCACTCTGTGTATCATATCAAGACTCAAATATCGGGATACATATCCTATCAAGACTCAAGTATCACCCTACGTATCGTATCAAGACTCAAGTATCGGGAGACGTATCATATCAAGACTCAAGCATCGGGATACGTACCATATCATCACTCATGTATCGTGATGCGTATAATAAAATGACCCAAGTATCGGGATACGTATCATATCATCACTCATGTATCCGGATACATATGATATAAGGACTCAAGCCTATATGAATACATTGGTCAGGTGAGGCACCCATGGTTTTTTTTTACCCACATTGAAGTAAACTCATGCAACCTTAATGGTGTCAAAGTAAAAACTACAACGTGAATGACACAAGTTCTGCATACAGATTACTCCCTCTAGAAATTCATGTTACATGTCCATGAAAAAACAGGTAATTTCAAAAAGATGGAAACTACTGATTTATGTGAGCAATTCAAACAACAATCCAAAAGATGAATTATGACATTTTTACAATAGCCCCCATCCCAACGAAAAACAATTCTAACTTCAAGATTTGATCTTTAATTCCAATATTTGAACCCTTCTAATTACAAGATTTGATCATTAATTCCAATATTTGACCTCTTCTTATCTGATCATGCCTAGTTTCCAGATTTGAACCTCCCTAATTCCAAGATTGGACTGTGTCCTAGTTCCAGACTTTGCCACCTCTATTTATTTCAATACTGAGGTTGGGTACAGGAGAGGGACTGGAAATCCACAAACCTCCATGTTTGGGCATATGAAGCTGTAGATGAGAGTACGTCACAGTGGAGAAATTGCAGAATCTACAGTTATAAAGTCTACCGGAGGGGTTCAAACCTGACGATGACGGGGGATAGGTGATGTAGACGTCGGGAGAGAGGTCATTCTGACCAACACTGAGGTCGTCTGGTGGAGGGGTCCCATCTGCTGCGCTGTTATTGTCCAGCATATGACAGTCAAGACGTGCTGGACGGTGGTCCGACACCTCCATGGGCTTGTCGTGTGTGTTGCCGCCATCCCTTCTCGCCTCCTCCTGGGCGATCATGGAACTCGCCAGAAGCAGACGGGCAACAGCACCTTGGCCCGGGTTACATTTCGCTTCGTTGCTTGGTGGGTGGGGCTGGTCCTCCGCCATTGTTCAACCCATCTGAAACACAGAACACACGTCATCAGCCCTTGCGCCATATGCCATTGTTCAACCAATCTGAAACACAGAACACACGTCATCAACCCTTGTGTCATCTGCCCTTGTTCAAACCATCTGAAAAACAGAGCATATATCATCAGGAAAGAAGAAATATATTAACTCCTAAACAAAATTACACCATGGAAATATCCTGGAAAAAAAATTCTTTCAGGTCTTGTTAATAGGTTAAGAATTGTTTCTACAATCAAAATGTACGTAACCATAAGAAGATAAACATATTCTAGATATACTCATGGTCACTATTCTTTTAGTGCAAGACTGTCCCTGTAAACATGGAATAACTTTCAAAGAAAACAAAAATCACAATATATTGTCTCTTGAAAGTAATTAAACATGACTCTACTGAGACCTACTTGACCTCCATCACATAACCTAATAGGGAAAATACCAATCTTGCACAACGCTCACCAAACTAACATATCATAGATCACACTGCTAAAACTAGGAAACTTCTACAAATTCTCTTTCCTTCCCTGATACAAGATTACTTGATAATGATAACAGCCCTTCTCCAAAACACAAGACTCCTACATGAACATGATGATGGCCAACCCTTCCTCCTCCAACACAGCAAGGTTGACACTGGCACATCCTTTACCATGTTTACCCTGTATACAGCAACTGAAAACAGACTTCAGATAAAGTTTGTTCCAGTTATGTAAGTCCAGGGAACAAAAAGGGATACACACAACAAGAAGCCTGATGACATCATCACAAGTATTTACCCAGTCACAAGGACACTGCTGCACAGCATCATGGCGTATAATGTGAAGGAAGAGTTGAACTCTAACATTGAACAACAAGCCCTGGGGCATAAACTAATATCAAAAGAAGCCTCTTTTAAACATCATTTGATTTGTTTCTTTGTACGTTCTGTGTTTACTTAGTTCCACAAGTCAGAGTTTAATGATTAAGTAAAGTCCTGCTTTGAACAGCTAACAGAGCAAGAGATTCTTATAACATAATAAGCTGTCACAGTATCATCAAATACACACTTATTCATCAGTCTGTAAATGTGATAAAGCACTAGGCTCGATATAAAAATATCTAATTTGGCACTAGTCCTTAGTCCCTGCCAAATTGCCCAATAGTTAAGGTATCTTAAGGAGTAATAGAAATTTGCCCTTTTTAAGGGGTTTTGCTTATGTTATCATTATAAGGACTAGTGAGCTAAAGCTGTTAGTTTCTATCGCTGTAAGACAACCTCAAATTTTAAAACAATAGGTCTACCTCCTAATTTGAAATGCAATTTATATCATGTGGACCAATGTAACGTTAGGTTCTGAAACCAGTGAAAGATTTGTAGCAACTGGTCCCATTGTAGAATTATCCCGGGAAATTACTCAGAACTTTCATGGCACACTATTACGACTCAGCATCACGTTACAGTATTTGTCTAATAGAAAGATTAATTTGACAAATTACATGACATTAGATGCTAGAGATAATCTGACTCATACAAATACATGAATACTAGGCCACCAAACAATAAGTCTGTAAAATCACACTTGAATAAACACAGGAAAAATTACATCACAGGTCTAGTTCAATATTCTCAGTCAACAAATTTGAACTATCCAAAAATGGAATATGACGAACAATGTGTTCACCAACAACCATGATACTGTCAAACATACAGACACCAGAATACCACTCATGGTTCTTTTTAGATACATGTAGTATACTGTGGAGGCATGAGCAGACAATCAAGAGTTACTCCCCTTTACACGGAAAAAAATCTGACAGCATGGTCCAGTGTTTGAAACAAGACACCTCTCGATATTTACTTAACACTGTCATTTGTCTAAGCGATACAACCACATGCATATAGAAATGACGAAATATGGCTGTAGGTCAATCAAAATGGCGCCATGTGCTTTCACACGATCCACAAAATGTCAAAATGACCATGAAATTCGAGTAAGAAAATCCCTATCTTGCAGTTTCATAACGATAAAAACATGATTGATCAAATTTGGCATAATTAATGGTGGCTGGTGTGTATAAGGACGATAAACCATGTCTCCAGGATTGATTATTTAATCAATATTCCATAGAATGACACCGTTCTGACGCCATCAAATTATGAAGCTTACATTGAATCGTTAAATCTGCCATACACAGACATGCTTCGTTACCGACAACCACATTTTCAAGGTCACAAAGTGTGTCAATATCAAACCTTTTATATCAAAACATCTGTGGTACTCTAAGGTATCAAATATCTTCAAATTTCAAATCACATTTAGCTGCCCTCGGTCAAAGAGGAAGCCATGTTGATTATTTTGGTATGTGTAATTTTGCACCTCACACGAGGGATAGTAATAAAGGGAGGTAATTCAGAAAGTTGACCCATGTGCGTTTCATCGTAAATAATTAATTCTTCATAGCATTCTAACTTTAGATGATCTCGAAAGGTGGGAGTTTGCCACAGTGTGAGGCCACCTTTACTGCACATACGTCTAACATTCAGAACTTTCAGCAGTGCTTCATTAGTGATACTTAAAAAATACTTTAAAAAAATGTTTGGTTACAGTATATCTTACAAACTAGTTTGAACTTCGATTTAAATAAGAATTCCGCCTATATTTCGTTGCATTTTTTCTTTGATAACATTTTTACAATCAACATAAGGAAAAGTATGTTTTATCGGGAATCAGAAATGAATATCCGGGGTGGCTCCCGTACTCTACACCATACAGTAAACTACGTTTATAACGAACACGCTTATAACGAACTGACGGATATAACGAACTTGTTTTTTGTCCTGACCATTTACTGTACATGTGCTGTATATGCTTAACGAACTACGGTTCTCACGAACTACAATTACTGGTCCCTGTGAGATCGTTATAACCGTAGTTTACTGTATATCAGAAGCCTCAGTGAGAATTACCCAAGCAGTCGAAGATAGACATAGTGTAGCAAGGAGCGATCATACGACCCCCAGTATGTAGACTCATGTAGATGTATGTATATTTACTTGTCAAATGGGATATATCGTACAGCAGTTTCATTTACAAAATAGGGAACGTATTTATGTGCATGGCTGGGCATATTCTAAATGCAAATATCAACTACATCTAGCTGGCTTCAATTTGCCCATTGCCATTTCTGTTCTTTTACCTATCAGTGGCCTGTCCTCATTTCGCCTACACCTCATTTCGCCTACACCCTTATCAAAACAAATTTACAGCCGACTGCACATAAGTCAAGTGCTGTGTTACCTCTAAAATAATGAACTGACCCAAAAGAAGGTTAAACAGAGAAGACATACATTGTTTAATAGCTGATATTTACATTATGCAGTAATAATAATAATGACTCATGATTACTGTAGCTTTAGTACATATCCAACGGCATCAAGAAATTGCATTACAGTTTAATCTTCCACTAATATAAGAAGCTGTGTCTTTAGTCTTTCAATTCTTTCGTCCCTTTGTCTGTCAACACGAGCTCGGGGTCTGCATGATCCTCCAAGATCTATTTGTTTCCTGGAGCGTCTGTCTGCCTTTTCAATCTTCTTGATCTCCTTCAAGAACTGATAAATGTTAGGGTGAGATCGGGGCATTCTCTTTTTCAGTCCACAGTGGAACCCTTCCAGATGGTTGTTGGATCGGGGACCGGTGTTGTCGTGCTTGTTCCAAATATGGCATGGGAATCTAGCGTCGTCATCTACCCATGTGCTGGTGACATAGTCGTTAAAATCACCAATCTGTTGATCATCAGGTCCTTGCTCCATCACCTCAACCCATGCATTCTGTACCTGGTCAAGTGGGAGAAGTGGCAGGGCTGCGGCACGTCGAACATGGGACTGAATTGCTGGATTGTTCGTGTATTCTCGTACAAGACCTCTCTCAACTACCTGACGCCACAAAGCTTGTGAATAGTGAAACAGACAACCCCTCACCTAACTATCAGGAAAAACCTCTGCAATGGCACTTATGACTGCTGACACGTAATCAGTCTGAAACACCTCTGGAGAAAGTTCAGTTCCAGTTCTGGTTCCTACTGTGTCCTTCAACAACCTAAATAGTCTAACATATGTCTGTTTGGTCTTGTTAGGAAGCAACGAAAAGCAACAGGATACATTTTACCATTATTTACTTACTTACTTTGGAGATTTAACGTGCGCTTTCCGACTGATGCGTATTTCGCACACGGGCCCGGCCAGGCCATTTAATGTGTTTCCGAAAGGGGCGAAAGTGGTCTGTGCAACCCAAGAGGGGGGTTTAGGGGTTGCTTCTACAGAATTTGGGAATTTTGAGATTGGAATAGATGCCGATGGGATTGGGGAGGAGAACTAAGGGAGCTGGGTATGGTGGATGTTTTTGGTTTATGTGATTTTGATTTGGTAGGTTATTGTGTTTTTAGATGCGTTTTATTAGTTCCGTTTTTATTAAGAATACGCCTAAGGCCTTGAAAGTTTTCTAGTTTATTTTGTGGGTTTAGTATTGCTTCTAGAGTTAGAGCCTTGTTTAGATTGAGGGTGGTTTGTAATGCGGTTCGATGTGTTAGGCAGTGTGTGCAGTGGATGAGTGCGTGTTCTGGGGTTTCTGGTTGTTTGCAGTGTGGGCAGTTACCTGTAGTGTGGTTTTTAAAAAAATATATAGGTGGTTATTTAGGTTGGTGTGTCCTGTTTGGAGTTTAGTGATTACTCTGTCGATTTTTTTTTGATGGATGGAGAATTTTTGGTTTGGTTAGTGGTTTGCTGAGCACTTTTTTGATTTGGCTATTTGAGTTTAGATATAGGTTATGCCATTTTTTGTGATTTTTGGTTTGTTTTACCATTTACAAGACAATGAATAATATACACTTGGAGCCACAAGCTAGGACAAACAGAAAAAGTACCATCCATAACAAACTGTCAGAGTCACTTCACTTTGAACCTCTATGCCGCTTGGATTAGACTAGAGCTTGGATTAGTTAACAGCCTGAGATGGACAATGCCCGTTCATATAATAGGGGTGAGGCAATTAAGCATTTGAATTATTGTAGGCGAAATGAGGTGTAGGCGAAATGAGGGCAAGCCCTATCAGTGCCAATTACCCCCGGCCTCCCGTTTGCCCATTGTCCATTACCAAATTACCAATCAGTGATAATTTAAGTCCTGGCTTCCAGTTGTCCATATATCAACGCTAATTACTGTAAAGTGTTGCCTTCTATTGTTTATTGCTAATCACCTATTAGCGCCAATTATCTGTTGGCTTCCCTTGTTAAGTTTCCTGCACCTTTTGTTATCTTATTACTTTTGTTGTTCTTACATGTACATCTATATATATGCTCTCTGCCTCAGAAATATCAAATACTCAATAGCTCAAACAACTTAACTAAGGCAGGTAAACAAATAGAGTTCATTTGGATCCCCGCCCACGTAGGAATCTTTGGAAATGAAAAAGCAGGTAAAGCAGCAAAATTATCCCTTAAACTCCCAGAAATCAGCTTAAACTTACCAAGCTCAAAATCAGAAATCAAAAGTGTCACTAAACAAAAAATCAACAAAAAATGGCAAAATATATACCAAAACTCAAATAGCCAAATCAGGAAAGTACTAAAAAAAACCCTAAATAAACCAAAAATACTACACCCATCCAAAAAAAATCGACAGAATAATTACTAAACTACAAACAGGCCACACCAAACTAAATAATCACCGTAAAATAGCTAAATCTACACACAACAGGAAACTGCCCGCATTGCAAACAACAAGAAACACCAAAACACGTACTCATTCACTGCACACACTACCAAACACATGGAACAACACTACAGACCACCCTAAATCTTAAAACGGGACTTACACTAAAATCAATCCTAAATCCACAAAATAAATTAGAAAAATTCAAAGCCTTAGGCATATACCTAATTAAAACAGGACTAATTAGTCGCATTTAAACCCCAAACAAAATATTAAAACCAAAACTACCTTATCTAACAACCACCCAACACACACAGCTCCCTTAGTTCGTCCCCCACCCACTCTTGGCATTCTTTCCAAATCTCAAAATTTAAAAATTACTATATAAGCAACCCCTAAAGCCCCCCTCCTGGGTTGCACAAACTCACTTTTCCCCTTTTTGGAAACACATTAAATGGCCTGGCCGGGCCTGTGTGCGACATACGCTTGCAGTCGGAAAGCGCACGTTAAATCTCCAATATAAGTAAGTAAGAAAGCATCCATTAATCCTCTACCTTATGTGAATCACTTCTAAATGCCTTTCAAAGACTTGATACATCTCATTGAATGTTCAGTGGTGGAGTTAGTGTTTTGTAATGCACTGAGCATAATCCAGCAACGTGTATATCAGTGAGTGAAGATATATGCCTACATCTCACGATACGTACATTTCGATTGTCCTATTTATACACGATGTAGGCACGGTTGGCTTTGAGTGAGTGCCAATATCAGAAGCATGCCACTTTTGTGAAACCCATGAGCACGGATATGTGCTTAGTCTCTGAAAATAAATATTTTTGACAGAAACAAATAATTCCATTTAAATTGAAAAGGAGCTTTATTGATATGGGGGTATTTAGAACCTGACGAAAATCTAGACTTGCTTCATTTAGTGCTTTTGCATTACCGAAAGGACTGGGTGGAAAGGAAAATAGTATGGTTCGTGGAGTGTGAGACAGGCTATGGTATGTGCTGACAAAATCAGAGCGAATTTGGGACGTCATCCGTTATTATCATCACGAATTAATGAATGCACGTCTGTCTCACAGATCGCTTGCTGTTACGGGAACTTACTTACAACTTTTGTGCTTTACACTATAAATAAACATTATGTTTTAGATATGCGGGTATTATTGAGTACTGAACTCGGTTTTAAATGATATTTTTGGGCAAATAACACCCGCAAACCTGAAAATATAAACTGTTTATCTCCTAACTCACTAACTCAATAAAAAAATGGGAATGGAAAAGGGTTATTCTATGAACCTGTACGGTTATCTGACGCAGCCATTGGTACGAGGACCCGCGTTTGAATCCATACAATCTATTCATGCGTTCTTGGTAGGCCCCTTCGTTATAATGGTGCTAAATGCGGCGTAAAACCACACTCACTTAGAACGATTAATGAACCCGCATTGATTGAAGCGCCCCACAAATGCACATAATGTGTATGTTTGTTTGTTGTTTTACGCCGCACTCAGCAACATTCTAACGATATGACGGCGGTCTGGAAATAATCGAGTCTGGACCCGACAATCCAGTGATTGACATCATGAGCATCGATCCGTTCAAATTGGCATACGATGATATGCATCAACCAAGTCAGCGAGCCTGACCACCGAGCCATTTAGTCGCCTGTAACGACATGCATAGTCGCCTTTTACGACAATCACAACTGCCTGTTACTACAAGCATAATTGCCTGTTACGACAAGCAAAGTCGCCTATTACAACAAGCATAGTCGCCTGTTACGACAAGCACAATTGCCTGTTACGACAAGCATAGTCGCCTGTTACGACAAGCACAATTGCCTAGCTGTTACAACAAGCATACAATTGCCTGTTGACAAGCATAGTCGCCTGTAACGACAAGCATAATTGCCTGTTACGACAAGCATAGTGGCCTGTTACGACAAGCATAGTGGCCTGTTACGACAAACATAATTGCCTGTTGACAAGCATAGTCGCCTGTAACGACAAGCATAATTGCCTGTTACGACAAACATAGTGGCCTGTTACGATAAGCATAGTGGCCTGTTACGACAAGCATAGTGACCTGTTACGACAAGCATAATTGCCTGTTACGACAAGCATAATTGCCTGTTACGACAAGCATAGTGGCCTGTTACGACAAGCATAGTGGCCTGTTACGACAAACATAATTGCCGAGGAGGTTGTCCCACGGCTTCTGCGCTGTTTGCACAATCCACATATCTTCGAAATTGATTATTTAATTGTTTCGACCGGTCCCCTTTAAAAAAGCGAATAAATAGATTTAGAAGAACATATGTTTTTGACTACTGTTGATTGATATTGTGAGCATCCATCCACGCATTTGGTCTTCAGCAACCCATGCTTGCCGTAAAAGGCCACTATGCTAAAAATTGTCGTAAGAAGCGAGTAACGGAATCGGGTGGTCAGGCTCGCTGACTTGGTTGATGCATGTCATCGTATCCCAATTGCGTAGATCGAAGCTCATGATGTCAATCACTGGATTGTCTAGTCATCACTTGATTATTTACAGACCGACGTCATATAGCTGGAATATTGCTGAGTGCGGCGTAAAACAACAAACATACAAACAAGCGTGTCAAGTACATGGTGAAGTAAAATGGGTTTAACAGCCACGCGCGCACGTGTGTGAATGTGTGTGCTCAGTGCCGTAGCCAACTGCCCCCCCCCCCCCCTCACGGAAATGAAAAAACCATGTTTTTTCGACCACAGATCTTAAATAAATGCAGTTAATATACAAAATATGTGAATATTCAAACAACTAAATTAGTACTAACTGGGCCGTGGCACAAATACAGCGTATCAAATTTTTTTATGCCTTTTTACACGTAAATGTGTAAAAATGTGAATAAAACAGACTATTGTGTAACAGGGCATAACCAGGTGTAAGTAGATCAAGGTGACCTATGACACCTTGACGACAGGTGAGAACAGGTGCATAATGCCTATAGGCTGTTTTTGCTATGTCAATTTGGACTTAGTTTTATTTTTGAATGTTGAAAGTCCCGACAAATTACCTGCTGTAAAGTACATTTTGTATTGTTCACTGAGATCAAACTAGCAAATCCAGATTAGTACTTTTCGAGTTGTTTTGTTATTTCGTATTTACAGCTACGTAACACTTTGTGTCGATTTTAAATTGAGAAAAACAGGGTTTTTTTTTTATTTCCGTGAGTACTTTAGGTGCTTGTACTAGTCCAGACAATTCAGGTGTATAGTCTGAACTACCCTGCTGCAGTATACCATGAAACCACACTCAGACACAGTATGAGTTATACCAAGCCGACCATACAGTCCTTGTTTTCTCCTAATGCAGAACGCCAACGACTTCCGGTATCATGCGCCAGGGGATCGAACCACTGGACTTCCTCTCTCCTGGCAGACGCTCTGTCCACTTGACCACGGAGGCGGTCGGCGTGGGACGATATGGGATAAGGGCCCGTTTAACCCTACTGGATGTGTGAAATTTTAATGTTACGGAAAACTCAAATATTTGTATGGAAATTATCAGACTGACACCCAGATCACTTGGAAGTGTTTGACTTCTGACCCCAGTAAGGCTAACATAAGTGATCAAGTCCAGGGAGTGCCTATAACTGTCGCTCAGTTCGTGGCGCTAGCTGAATCTATGGCCATTTATTTGGGCTGTCTTTACCTACTTTTCCCGAAAGGGCCATTTGTTTCCTTGAAATTTCAAGAGAAAAAAGTGACCCTAAAAAGCTTACGTATAAGACACTTCTTTCAGTGGCATTTAGAAGTTGGTGTGATGAAATTAGACGAGTTCTATGGATAAACAACTTCTTTATTACAATTAGTGCGACGACCACACCCAAACCCACGCCGACCACAACATCCAGTGGAACAACATCGAGATCCTGGCCAACAACCAATCAGACTACAAAATCAGGAAACTCCTAGAAGCCATTTGCATCAAAAGGATCCAGCCAGCAATGAACACAGATCAAGGCTATTACATCCCGCCTGCTTACCATCACCTAATTGCTAAATCCCTATGTCCATCCAATTAATCCACTGGCTTCGATCATCTCTATCAGTCTGCTTGTTGCTTGTTGACTCTGTGATCACTAGTCATCCACTGGCTTCCAATTATCTTAATCAGCTCTCTGTGTCCATCAATCAATTTACTGTATAAATATTGATGTTAATAAGTATATATACCTATGTTGTTTAGCGCTATCCATCACTTGCTTGATAAAGGTGTTAGGATCTACACCGAACCGTCGCACTAATTGTAATAAAGAAGTTGTTTATCCATAGAACGCTTCTTACTTTATAAGACACTTGCTCATGTGCAAATATTAGAAAAATCTTTAATAAGCATATTTTAGTCTTGGCTCTATAGTTGGTGCTGTGCGTTTTCATAACAATTAAAATATATATCTGCTCATTTTTTAGATGATGCAGATCCCGTGAGCCAAAATATTCTCTTGCCACACCTCCCTAAAATATAAAACCTTGTCCTTCGTATACCTTAATTAAAATGCACGAGAGGTCACTCGCATGCTGACGTAAAGTGAATAAGGTGTGAAATATTTCTGACAGCCTTCCAACAAATCGTATAACAAACCGTAAAATTGGCCAATGGAAACAATAGCACATAAAGCGCCTTGCTTTTTGAATTGTAATCAAATAAACAAGACCCTGAAGTCCGGACCGGTCGCACAGCTCTAATTCTTTCAGAGGTTATAGTGCGGCGAATACTTCTGTCGATTAGTACTATCGTTACCAGACGACGGGCACGCTCCGAGTAGAATGACAGCGATTGTTAACAATGTAGAACAGTTGTATCGCATGATTGTTCTAAACACATCGCTTGATTTCCGTGGCACGGATCTTCTTGGAAATGAAAGTGCCGTTCAGATATGACGGAATATATTTTGGCAAAAAAAAGTTTGAATGGAGTTACTCGAATGGAAATGGACGATTATTTTGCCGATTCTGAGATCGAGAACCTTTACAGTTGGCTGGACAGGATAGAATTTTCCCGACCGAAGAAAAATGTTGGGAAGGATTTTTCCGATGGAGGTGAACATTGAAAACATTCTTACATCTTGAAAACACATGAACACCAAGACTGTTACATTATAATTTTGATTATACCAACCCACCACAAATTAAAGTGTTAAATCTGGTTTGTAGTGATTATCGAGGATATATAGGCCAGTGACAAATGTTTCTTCTTAAATGAAAGCATGTTCATTTGACGTAAATAATGAAACAGGAAAATAAATGTGGTTCTAGCTGCCTTACAATTCTCACATTCAATCTTTATGTTTAGAAAGATTTGAAATTTTACATAAAATACAAATTACAAATCAAATCTTCAATATCTGGTTTGTTTATTCAAATATCTCATTGGACTTGTAATATTATACATGAAAACTAAATTACAAATCAACTCTTCTATAAAGTCTGGATTTGACTTTTCAAAACCATACCAATTGGATATATTTTAAAGGCTTGTATTCATTTTCTAATGATGAATTTCCATCCTAATAGTCCATTATTGACTTTCTCAGCTGTTCATAGTTTACATTTGTGTCCTGGCAGTGTTACTGTGTATATACTGTAACCTCTAAGTTATTTAACAAATGCAAAATGTTCATTATAAGTATTATTGAATTTAATATTGAAAGCAATTCATGTAAGGTTTTTACTTTGTTTGTGTTGTTCTTCCATAATACATATAAAGAGGTTGGAGGAGACACTACGTAGGTAATAGATATAAACAGGTCGGTGGAGACACTACGTAGGTAATAGATATAAACAGGTCGATGGAGACACTACGTAGATAATAGATATAAACAGGTCGGTGGAGACACTACGAAGGTAATAGATATAAACAGGTCGGTGGAGACACTACGTAGGTAATAGATATAAACAGGTCGGTGGAGACACTACGAAGGTAATAGATATAAACAGGTTGGAGGAGACACTACGTAGGTAATAGATATAAACAGGTCGGTGGAGACACTAGGAAGGTAATAGATATGAACAGGTCGGTGGAGAGACTACGTAGGTAATAGATATAAACAGGTCGGTGGAGACACTATGTAGGTAATAGATATGAACTGGTCGGTGGAGACACAACGTAGGTAATAGATATAAACAGGTCGGTGGAGACACTACTTGGTAATAGATATAAACAGGTCAGTGGAGACACTACGTAGGTAATAGATATGAACAGGTCAAGGGAGACACTACGTAGGTAATAGATATAAACAGGTCGGTTGAGACACTAAGTAGGGTAATAGATATGAACAGGTCGAGGGAGACACTACGTAGGTAATAGATATAAACAGGTCGGTGGAGACACTACGTAGGTAATAGATATGAACAGGTCGGTGGAGACACAACGTAGGTAATAGATATAAACAGGTCGGTGGCGAGACTACGTAGGTAATAGATATAAACAGGTCGGTGGAGACACTACGTAGGTAATAGATATAAACAGGTTGGTGGCGAGACTACTTAGGTAATAGATATAAACAGGTCGGTGGAGACACTACGTAGGTAATAGATATAAACAGGTCGGTTGAGACACTAAGTAGGGTAATAGATATGAACAGGTCGGTGGAGACACTACGTAGGTAATAGATATAAACAGGTCGGTTGAGACATTAAGTAGGGTAATAGATATAAACAGGTCGGTGGAGACACTACGTAGGGAATAGATATAAACAGGTCGATGGAGACACTACTTGGTAATAGATATAAACAGGTCAGTGGAGACACTATGTAGGTAATAGATATAAACAGGTCAGTGGAGACACTACGTAGGTAATAGATATAAACAGGTCGGTTGAGACACTAAGTAGGGTAATAGATATGAACAGGTCGGTGGAGACACTACGTAGGTAATAGATATGAACAGGTCGGTGGAGACACAACGTAGGTAATAGATATAAACAGGTCGGTGGCGAGACTACGTAGGTAATAGATATAAACAGGTCGGTGGAGACACTACGTAGGTAATAGATATAAACAGGTTGGTGGCGAGACTACTTAGGTAATAGATATAAACAGGTCGGTGGAGACACTACGTAGGTAATAGATATAAACAGGGCGGTTGAGACACTAAGTAGGGTAATAGATATGAACAGGTCGGTGGAGACACTACATAGGTAATAGATATAAACAGGTCGGTTGAGACATTAAGTAGGGTAATAGATATAAACAGGTCGGTGGAGACACTACGTAGGGAATAGATATAAACAGGTCGATGGAGACACTACTTGGTAATAGATATAAACAGGTCAGTGGAGACACTATGTAGGTAATAGATATAAACAGGTCAGTGGAGACACTACGTAGGTAATAGATATAAACAGGTCGGTTGAGACACTAAGTAGGGTAATAGATATGAACAGGTCGGTGGAGACACTACGTAGGTAATAGATATAAACAGGTCGATGGAGACACTACTTGGTAATAGATATAAACAGGTCAGTGGAGACACTACGTAGGTAATAGATATGAACAGGTCGATGGAGACACTACTTGGTAATAGATATTAACAGGTCAGTGGAGACACTACGTAGGTAATAGATATAAACAGGTCGGTGGAGACACTACTTGGTAATAGATATAAACAGGTCGGTGGAGACACTACGTAGGTTATAGATATCAACAGGTCGATGGAGACACTACATAGGTAACAGATGTGAACCGGTCAGTGGAGACACTACTTGGTAATAGATATAAACAGGTCGGTGGAGACACCACTTAGTCAATGCTCCACACAATGAATGAAAGTCAGAAAAGAACATTTGAAGCTGTCAAGTTTGGCAGATTTTCAAACAGATCTATTGGAAATATTATACTTGAACGTACATGTACACATGTGCCACAAATTCCACTTTAAAGTCTCTTTATTATTTCAATTAATTTTATCTCAATATTTGTATGTTTGCATGGGTTTTGAAGTTAAATTCATTATGGATATCAATGTAAATCATGTAGAATAATCAAAGTATTTTTTCAAGCAGGCATGTTCGGATAAACATGCACAAACAGAAACTTGGAATGCTTCCAAGTTCCAATTCACGTGTGTAAACACAAGCACATTATCAAATCTACTTTCAAAGAAATTGCACTTCGCAGTCCCTGCCCTGTTATCATGGTAATCATATTGTAGCATACAGGGTTGCACCAACATGTTGAAAGAAATTCCATGTTTCATATTTCAATTTTAAACAAAACTAGAAGTTACCACAAACTGTTATGTTGATTCCACAATAAAGATGATCATGATGGTGAATAAATTGTAATATTTTGATTTTGATTTATCTCAAATGTGAGTAAAGAGTTTATGTACATGACATAAATCAGATAAATTTGGGTAAGACTTCCGCCCGTATCAACCCTAAAAACATTATTTAATTATAGGACTGAGAAGCAATGCATGGGACCTATAACTTTTGGAGGGGGGATACAGGTGAAAGTCTTTCCTAAATTTGTCCCTTGCTTTACATATGAGCATGTCTCAATTTTTATGCTAAAAAACTCCAAAACGAAAATGTAATCTTGATTTCAACCCTGCACATGTGAAAACTAGCTTGTGAAAAATAACAGAAATGACTTCCTAATCTCGTACAACTTCTTCATGGGTACATTTCATTATGATATTCAGAATTCTTGTTTTCAGAGAAGTATGACCCTCTATTGTCGCTTGCATGTTGGTACGTTTGCACAGAAACAAAGCAAGAAGAATATTGAATAAACACTGGTTCTATGGATCTTCCAAGATAAATAGACTCCCTTCTCTTATCATGCTTATTCAAGCCTTTATGCTAGAACATAAAACATGATGCTGTGCATTAGGTGTTGAGAACCAGTCTGTGCAAGCAGGGTACCATCAAAGTTGGACATGTTTGTTCTGTTCTTGCTAGTTCTAGGGGAGGTTCTAACCTAAGGGAGGTTTCTGGAGAATCAGTAAACACGAAACAGTGAACACCTGTCCCATGAGACTCATTAGAGCAAGTTCCCAGTTGTCTGTTGTTTGTTGTGACTGAAAAGGATAGGGTGGCCTGATTTCTGTGTCTGCTAATTGAATTTTGGAACATGCTGGGTTTCCTACCGAGCAACAGTGTAGAGTTAGGGTACTTAGGTACATGTCAGTCCAGAGCGACGTAGATGCTAATGGCTGGAATGTTTTATCTCAAGACCACTAAGATAACATTTGATAGATTTATTGGGGTTATAATTTTTCTATTGGTAAGAAATGATTGATCCTTAGATTACCAATGTAAGCCTTAACTCTGACATCAAACAGCGGCCTTAGCCGGGAGGCAGAGAATAGAAACAGGACTTATATGATTCAAAGCTAAGTGCCCTTGGCAGGCAAACTGGGAAAAAATAGTTATTTTGTTCAAAAGTTTTATTTTGTATTTTCTTAAATTGAGAGGAATTTTAATATTGTGTTTTAACTTTGCATTCTATAGAAAACTAAGTATCAACAGATTGTGACAAAGTTGTAAGGATTTCTAAAGGAGGCATGTATTTGGGTAAACAGATACTTGAAATCTCTACATTATTATATACACATATGGAAGGCTGAGAGGGCATGATTGATAGATGACTGTATGATGCGATCTTCACTTGTCATCCCTGTGACAATGGCAAAACACTAAAATGTCAATAGCCTGATGACCTAATCAAGAGTAGCATCCAATATAGGACCCATGACTTCTTTTGTTTATTTCTGTGTCAAATTCGTCTGTAATTTAACTAGACCATGTAGACATTATACTAAGTTTGTTTGGTCATATTGTGCTGTCCGTGACCTGAACTTGAATATATTATTGTATAGCTGTTAACATTGTTAATCTAGAAACTATATACTTACATAGGAACACATGAGCCCTGAGAATCATATTCCATGAACTACAGTTGGTCTGTGTCCAAAACTAATGTTGTGTTTGAGAATAATGGAGTCGATAACTGGATTTATGTTTGATATTTATAGTGTTAAATTGGTGTTGAATTTTGTCATAGCAACTGATTACCATCTGAATGTAATCACATTTAAAAAAAGAAAACTACATTACTTCTCAATTTGTTAAAAATAATATAATACTTAATGTTATTTGATATATATTGTGTGATAATTCAAAACTCTACGAAAAGGTTAGAGTGAGTGTGTGGGTTGGGTTCCAGTTATGTGACAGTGTGTCAGCTAATGTGGGAGGAAAGCTCAAAGGGATATAGGCTTCAGACATTTACCACATTGGTGAAACCCACAAGTACAGGTATGGTTCTGACAGACCTAGAAACATAATTGAGGCGAACCGGGATTCAAATCCACGATCTTAGGTTTCTGGTAAGCTCACAGAATACCCCTCTGCACAGTGAATTGTTAATAAGTTTGACTCTCAGTGCTTCATCATGTACAAATTCAATGTAAATACAGTATTTTGCAAAGAAGATATCAGGGAGGCAACTTTACCTGAATCATTAACTTGCCCTTGTAGTGATAACTTATAAAGATAAAAGACATATAAAAAGCCTGAAACTGTACTAGCTTTCAGGATACCTTTTTACCTTTAACATCAGACAAACTCAGGCTTATGGGCTAGTGCAAAGTTGCATCATGTCTATCCTTATCTGAACAGTAATGAAGTTTTTATGTTCAAAATTAAGTTCAGTATGGTTAAGTATGTATTTTCCACAGAAGTTCATTTTTGCTTAAGTTAATAGCTCTGTTCATCCTTTGTTCGACTTAACTGTTAGGTTTGAAAAATTCTCTTATTCTAAACTGTTCTGCTTTGAAGCAGGGTAAAGAAGTTATGCTGCCTGACAATTTAGAAATGTGTTCTTGGGACTGTAAACAGAGTGTTGAACTATCCTATGTAGACCGGTGTGAAGATACAGGTAACAATAGAGAGATCAGCCAGGGCTTTGAAGCCTTTCTCTCTAGGCCATATATTCTCACCAACTGTTTTAGATTCCCGTGGCGATGAGATCCTATCTCAGTGGGCTGGTATTGAGTGACTAAAAGGATATCCTGACTGTAAGCTGTAACGTTTATGACAACGGAATTGCACCGACACACCACAGTTTTTTGAGAATTGATAACAAACGAGTAGGAAATAACTTCTCTTAAATACTATACTCTGTTCTATTGAATTTCAAGTTGATGTACCTCATATGTTATCATATGTAAGTCTCAGCAGCAATATCGACCCAATGTGTGTGCCTTAAGAGCTTAATTACCCAGGGTTTTATGACGTTTTGTCATGTGCTTACTGTAAACCGAATCTCTTGTACACCTGACATATCTTTTATGCAAGCCGTCTCTATTGTGGTGTAAACTGAATAGGTAAATTATTGAGTAGCGTATTTAGAAGTATACAAATGAGTCTGACACCATAAACACAGGAGCCCTTGTCAAACACGAGGTTTACAGTTGTGTGGTTATAAATCAATATAGGTGTTGTCAAGAGGAGAGGCTGTTTACGGTTCACTAGGCAGCAGGGAGTACATACAGCGCCTTACCGTTCACTTTGTAGTAGAGGGTACTGGGGTTTAAGGTTAAATAAAAACTGAGGTATGGATTGTCAACGTCTCCTGCATTTAAATTATCATCTAAAAGTTATATTGACTTCCTTTCAGCTGTTTGGCAGATTTTGTATTTACATGTAATTGTTTGTGGTTTATTTTGTGAAAACCCTGTTATGCTGATGGGACAAATAATAACATTGCACCAATATTTCTGAATTGATTTTATTGGTCCATATGTGAATATATTGCAATGTGATGTTTGTTTACATGGTCTGGGAGGCTTTGCTGTTGTCAGTTACAGAATCATTTTGTGGTAAATATGTGACTTGCATTTGGTTAAATTAAACAATTAGTGCTTTTCAGATAAATATTTGTCCACTTTAATATGGTCAGTTAAAAGAAGATTATTTTTTCTTAAAAAAAGTACTTAGTACAAATTGTCATAGTTATTGTGACCTCTAGTCAAATTTTGTTTCTTTTTGTTTAATTTCTGGTGATTATAGTTTAAGTACATGGACTGATTTGCCGTTCTTAGTCAAAAGGAACAAACTACTGGCTAAAGTCATAGACTAATAATACCTTAGAGTTTATGTTACCATAGTTACACATTCCCACACTGAGAGTGTTATGTACACCAGGAGGAGCCTGTGTGACATTGTTGGTGTTAACATTAAAGTGAAAGTCCAGATGGTCCTTGTCATAACGTTAATGATAAAAGATATTGAGTCAGAGGGCCCTCTCTTGCCCCAAACCTCAGGATGCCAGGACACACATACTTTCTAACACTGATGTCAGGACACACATACTTTCTAACACTGATGCCAGGACACACATACTTTCTAACACTGATGCCAGGACACACATACTTTCTAACACTGATGTCAGGACACACATACTTTCTAACACTGATGCCAGGACACACATACTTTCTAACACTGATGCCAGGACACACATACTTTCTAACACTGATGCCAGGACACACATACTTTCTAACACTGATGTCAGGACACACATACTTTCTAACACTGATGCCAGGACACACATACTTTCTAACACTGATGCCAGGACACACATACTTTCTAACACTGATGCCAGGACACACATACTTTCTAACACTGATGCCAGGACACACATACTTTCTAACACTGATGCCAGGACACACATACTTTCTAACACTGATGCCAGGACACACATACTTTCTAACACTGATGCCAGGACACACATACTTTCTAACACTGATGCCAGGACACACATACTTTCTAACACTGATGCCAGGACACACATACTTTCTAACACTGATGCCAGGACACACATACTTTCTAACACTGATGTCACAAGTAAACACCAATACCACCCTTGGGCACCACTAGGGTTGGGACGGGTAACTCGGGTACCCGGGTCGGGTGTGTACTGAGTAGGACCCGGGTACCCACAGGACTACCCGGACCAGTGGTTAGTCACGTGATATATTGTTTAATGACAAAAATTATCTAGAACTCTATGGTTACACTACTAGTCACTAATGTTCGCATTTCTTTCTGACTATGCACCCATTCCTTCTGATTTTTCATATGGTTGAATAGAGATATAACTTAATTCAACTTCAGTGTATGAATGACCTGATTGTTTAATACATGTATCTAAATATGTTTTGCCCGGGCTTTGCAAAAAATGTTCCCAATCGGACATTTTGAGACGTCTCCTGAGACCTACAGTGGGTACCCGGGTAGGGTCGGGTAATAGGGTGGTCGGTGCCCAGGTAGTAAATTTGGACTCGTCCCAGCCCTAGGCACTACATGAAACCATGGACGTCTTTCATGTAGTGGACATGTAGTCCAAGGTCTTGAGGAAACAAGTAATAGCAATAACTGGAAGCAATGAATTGCTGTTATTCCCCACAGAGGCTATTCTCATCAATATCCTTGCTCAGGTGGAAATAAGAGGCTGTATTGTTATGGAATACCACTGTCCATAAAGCTTAATAGAAGGTAGATGAATATCCAAGGGATTGTGAGGTTCTGTGAGGATCAGTGAACTTGGAGTGAGTGATCCATACCAGCTACTTGAGATGGTCATGTTATTGTCTGAGAAGTGGCAGTGCGAGTCATAGAGGGTATGAAAAGTGTGTTATATACCAGGAGTCTTTATGTGGAGTCAATACTACATCTGTGGGCTTGCCCAGTACTTGGGTTTTATTAATGCTGGTTAAAGTTTAATATGAAGTATTGATTATTTCAGCGTAATTCCAGATATAGGTAGTTTTGTTATTGTGAGTCATTGGAGGAAATGACACCCTGTGCTGTTGAATAATTCAGGTTGCATTCTACACTGTTTTTTTATCCACAGTTTTTTTAAATTGTTGAGTTAATTAGACATAATAAAACTTTAGCTGATCATGTTACTAATTAGGTTTATTTCTTGTCCAGACTTTCTAGGTCAATATTTCACATTGGAGGACGACATTGGGTGATGATTAAATTCTTTAAGTACCATATCAGTATTTCCTTTCATAGTTAAACATTAAACTAGACAATGGATATCACATCCGCCAAACCTACAAAATGAAAAAGGAAAATGAATAAATCAGAAAAGTACCATTTCATTTTATTATGTGGAATGCAAAGTTACATGTGGAATATGACATATTTGACATTTTCGAAGAAGAAAAAATCTGATTTATTGTTTAAATTTAATTTTAATTTTAGACTTACTAACCACCATTTTAACAATAAAAAAAGCATCCCCGAACAAAATAAATTACAATATAACTGTAAACAAAGAAAAGCCTGTTTATGAACAAATGCTGGTGCCTGTTTTCAGTGCTGGTTGCGGAGGTGGTCCACCATTACTTCCCCCGACTGGTGCAACTGCACAACTATGCGCCCGCCAGCGCCCCCAAACAGAAGATGGAGAACTGGTACTACCTCAACAGGTTAGTGTCTTCTTACTCATAGGGGCACACTGGGCAGAGTTACATCCCTTTGTTATGGCAGAATATGGAATAATTGGCTTGAATCCAAATTTGATTTGATTATGTTTTACTTGGTTTTACTTTGGTTTCATGACTGAGTTTCAACTGTCTATGATCTGTGTCATTGTGGGCTCCCTCCCCATTATAGTCACTTGCTGTGCTGTGACTGAAATACTGTTCAAACTGGTGTTCAACCCCAACACACTTCCTAGGGGTGCACTGCCCCAAATAAAGACAGTTTGGCAAGGATAAACAGAGTTAGAACTAAACTCAAAAGCCTAACTAAGCGGGTAAAGATAAAATGCCCTTGTATTGTAATGTTAAAACAACGGTGAAATTGTAAAATTTGTACTTGTGGGCTAGTGTTAAGTTCTAACCCTGATACAGAAATGGGCTCCATCCTTCCAGGTGCCATCCTTCATGTTAGATTCTGGAACATACCTGATAAGCCTGTCAATATTTATTCATGAAACTTTGTATGCATATGCTAGTGCTGAACTGTTGCTTTCTGATAATCAATGCTTTTCAGAAAGTTTTATTTTTACTTTTTGTGTTTCCAAGGCAGCATGTCAAGCCCTATGTTCAAATGAGGTTAGGGTCTATTTCTGGAGCAGAACTCTTAAACCATTCAATATACTGTATTCGACGTAATAAGCGCCCCAGGCTCTCTCAAAATTAGAAATAGGGGCTCTTATTGGAATATTATTTTAGTTGAAAGATAAATATCGTGGTTTATGCTGACAGCCTGAAATGTTTATGTACGACAGATATATTTTTCCAGAATTTAATTGCCCATAAGGGGTGCTAATTGGGATTGTTCACTGGCCAATATATTAGCAAATATCGCCGCTGTGATATTGCTGGAATATTGCTAAAAGCGGCATAAAACCATACTCACTCACTCTAAATGTTTTTTAAGCAGCCAATTGTAAATGGGGATGCTCTAAGGTTTTGCCTGAATTTGACCGTGGTGTTGCACTTCAATTCTAATGAACGTAAGAGGTTGTGATTGTCTTACTTATATGGTAATGGTCACAGTGAAGTTCTTTCTGAAAGTATGTTTGCCATTTTCAGTAAAATGCCCTTTTCTGCACTCTTCTGCATGTAGAGGTTATATTATGTAATGACAATCATGTGATATCAGTGGAATGTCCTTTCCATGAGTAGCATATGCTACGTCTTCGTTGTTACTTTGAATTCCACCTTTGGACATCTTAATTGATTTATATGCTGGATAGAGCATTAGAATGTTCTTGAAATACTTGCAACTGATGCTAAAAGGGTATGATGTGTTCAAGAGGAGTTCTCTGTAGTAAGTGAAATTTGGTACACATCGTCCTTAGGGTGGCCATTGAAGTGGTAAGATTTGAGTGACCTTCATTGAAGGTCAAGGTCATTGGAATGGTAATTTGTATGGAAGTTCTGATTTTCTCCTTTCCAATTAGAAATAATCCAGCATGTGATAATCTGAAATTCCGTGTCAAGGTCATCAAACCATGCAAACCGGAAGCACATATTACTTTCTTATCAAGGTAGCTAGAGGCATATGGGACTATCTGTTTTTAGCTTTAGTTCATTAGGCATGTGCTTTCCGCAACCAAAAGGGCAGTTGTTAAACCACATTGCAAACACTGTTCTAGCCATATAAGAATATTGGGTATACCGTATTCGACGTAATAAGCGCCCAGGGCGCTCTCAAAATTAGAAATAGGGGGCTCTTATTAGAATATCATTTTGGTGAAAAAAAACAGAGTTGAAAGATAAATTTTGTGGTTTATGCTGACAGCCTGAAATGTATATACGAAAGATATATTTTTTCCAGAATTTAATTGCCCATAATTGAGGGTGCATATTACACACGAGTGCGTATTATACACGAATAAATAGGTCTTGTGTACATTGATCAATCGGAAGGGGTGCTAATTGGGATTGTTCACTAGCCAATATATCAGCAAATATCGCTGTGGGCGCTTATTAGAGCGGGGCGCTTATTATATCGAATATGGTACTCATGTTAGCACAGAAGAACTATAATGAGTGCTTGTATTTGCAGTCCATTATCATTCTGAAGTTGGATCTGTATTTCTAATTCCTACTACCAACTCCTAGTAACATGTCGACACTTTGACAGTGATTAACTAAACTGATTACCTTCCAGGCGTGTGTTAAAGAAGCTTGACCTTGACCTCTCTGATGACATCATCAGGTCACTCTCCTACTGCAAATCCAAAGTGGCCGAGAAAGTTCTGATGATGCTACGTCTCCAGATAGACAGAGCTCTGGATAAATCAGCCCAGTTCCAGAAACGTTTCCCAAATAACAACTTGTCACAATCCATGGATAATATGGAGTTTCTAGGTGTGTCAGTAGACAATAGCAGTTGTTATTCTGTGCCTTACTGTTTGGTAATATCTTAACTAGCAGAGTGAAACTTGTTCTTCTGCATCTAACAGAAGATGTCACCGTTTTTTGGGAGAGATGGTTTTGGGTGCACTTAAAATACAAAAATACTAGCAATTTGTGGTTGATAGCCAAAAATGCTTTTTGTTGAAAACATGTTGCTATATTATATGTAATATTTGTAATATGTTGTAATATGTGGGTGTATGCACTTCACATTTTGAACATATGAATGGTCTCAGGATAATTCAGTGATTTTCTCTTTCTTATTGATACCAGTATATTTCATTCTTCTGTAACAAATTCTTCAAATATTCTGCTGGACATTTCTTTCAGTAGCTCAAAATTGTGGTCAATCTTCATGACTGATAGACTAGTTGTGGCCAATATATAGGGATTGAAAATGTGTAAATTATTTGTTGAAACAGTGTTCAAAGTAGACCTCCCTCAAGTTGGAAACTTGTAACTGTTTGATAGAACTGGTGATCAGTAATTCTGTTGAGAAAATTTACTGGTTTTTTTTGTTCATTTTTAGTACCCTTCTCAGGGTTGTAGCATATTCCAATACCAGATATGTATGCTTTGTGAACTAATTCTACTTAATATGCACTTCAGTCAGCCCACGGCTACTGCCCAGTTCAAACGGCTCTCAACAAGGCAAATCTAAAGTGTCACCCAGGCGCCGGATTCCTCACACCAGGAGGGAGTATGTTTTTTTCCAATGAGTCACTCAATTATAGTGTGTTTTGTTGTTTCTAGTTCCAGAATTTGATTGTCAGTAGATCAAAAGTATAAGTTCAAAGATACTTTCATTTGCAAAACTAGACATTTTGAAATTTGCCAGAGAACTACTGGTACACTCCATTTAAATACACAAAGAAAAAAGTTAAGCACTCCCTGTATATGTGATAATGACTGGTGAAGAGCGTTTAAAACCCTGATGACATAACCTCAGAAAAACAAATGTGGTTGCAAGAAGACACCTCTGACAATAGGCCAACATAGAAAGTTTATCCTGTTTTTAGATTTTAATCATGATTCTAACAAAAACTCTGAGGCATTGAATTTGTGCAAAAACAGTAGCCATAATACTTATGGAGGTGTAGAGTTAGGAACACAATTCCACATCATGATTGATGATGAAAAATGTCCCTTTCTGTCCAAAGATGACATTCATGACACAAATCATCAATAGCAGGTAATCCCGCCATGTGCCTGGATGACAGATTCCAGCCTTCGTTTCATCCCTCCAGTATATCATCTGATCTGCTGAAGGGGCAACTGCGGCCATTCACGTTGAAAAACGGCCTTCAATTGTGCCAGAGTCTGTACCGGTGGGTCCGGTCAATGTACTCAAATTCCCCAAGATGTCCCTAATCTGCTTAAGTGGATTCAGGTCCCGACTCATGGCAGTGTTGCCACAGCGTCATTCTGGAGAAAAGCTGTTTGTCCTCAGGAACGATGTGGCCTAGTGTTGTCATCCAAGTACACAGGTCGGGTGACGAGTCCAAATGTGGCACAACAACTGGTTGTAGACGTTACAAGTGTACCGATCACCATTGAGTTTGCCTTGGATGGTGACAAGATCCAGCTCACAATCGTGTGACAGGCAACCCCAAGCCATTACCTAACCATATGGGGTCATAGGTCTCATGTTCTTGGGTGTGTAGGCCATATTTGTATGCCTCCAACTCTCAAACTGCCATCGGTGACATGGTGCAGGAACCTGCTCTCATCTGACCAATGGACTCTTTGCCAAGTCCTCAGATTCCAAGCTCCCCGGGCCAAACACCATGCTTAACAAATTCTTTGGTGATGATCCTCAAGAAAGGGACGCTTGATTACCCTTCTGGACTTCATTCCCTTTGATTTCAGTCGATTCCCCTCTGTTCTGGTTGAAATCCATCTATTGGGTAACCATTGGCGCCTCAGAAAAGGAGATGTTGCAAATGGTTGATGACGTACCAGCCATGTCCTGACGTGGGAGATCCTGTACAGCATTGGTTTACCCATGATCTTGTTCCAGTCTATTGATTGCGGTATTATGCTTCCTAGTTGACGTCCTATGCTTTGTAGGTCATGCCTGATGAATGCATACCAGTAATATGGCATCTTTGTGCCTCTGATAACCTTCTTCGTGCCATGTTCACACATAATGTTTCAACAATGCAAGACAGTGACGTTATATTCCCATAATTGTTGTGTACAGATATTGCATTGTGAAAAAAGCATGTATGGCATGTTGCAGTTGCTTTGATGCGACGTCACAGTTGCCATTGTATTGTCCAATCATTTCAACAGAACACCAATCTTGACATATTCATCATGAAATTTGCAGTAGTTGTGAATGGGGGGATATTTCACACAGGAACTCATTATTTGTCAGTAAATATAAATATATACCCCCTATATGTAAAAATTCTCTACTTACATATAGGGGGTATATATTTTTATTTACTGACCAATAACGAGTTCCTGTGATATTTCCATATTAATTATTCCAGGGGTGCTCAACTTTTTTCTTTGTGTATATATTTTATAGTATTTGAAAATGCTGCCCCAGCATAGATGCTTCATACATATGGGGGACCCCCACCTTTCACTGTGTCATTTTTTCAGGAAAACATTGATTGTCACCACCCCCCTCTCCTATAATAAATAACCATTCCTCCTATCTCTGTACCCAGTGGCCATGTTGTCCTCTGGTGATTGTTTGTAAACGGGAAGCTGTTTCTCATGTGTGATGTGTCCTACTTGCAGATCTTACACGTCTAACAAGCCTCTGATTGCTCCAGTGATGGACAATGTACCGCGTGCGCTGGTGGAGGAGAAACAACAAGAGGCAGTTGCAAAGGAAGAAACAATTCAGGTGATACATGGTCCTGGTTGGAAGCTGTAGTATGTTGAGGAATCTCTGCAACATTGTGAAAACATACACATAACAGATATGACCATAACATGCATAATGCATTTATGAAAAGGAACGCCTCTGTGGTCTAGTAGATAGAGCGTCTGCCCAGACTGCCTTTTTGGTCTAGTAGATGGAGCGTCTACCTCTGTGGTCGAGTGGATGGAGTGTCTGCCAAGACCACCTTAGTGGTTTAGTGGATAGAGTGTCTGCCAAGACCACCTTAGTGGTTTAGTGGATGGAGCGTCTGCCCAGAGAGCAGTAGTGGTCTAGTAGAAAGAGCCTCTGTCCAGACCACCTTGGTCTAGTAGATGGAGCATCTGCTTCTGTGGTCTAGTGGATAGAGCATCTGCCAAGACTGTCTCTGTGGTCTAGCAGATAGTGTGTCTGCCAAGACTGTCTCTGTGGTCTAGTGGATAGAGCATCTGCCAAGACTGTCTCTGTGGTCTAGCAGATAGTGTATCTGCCAAGACTGTCTCTGTGGTCTAGCAGATAGTGTGTCTGCCAAGACTGTCTCTGTGGTCTAGCAGATAGTGTGTCTGCCAAGACTGTCTCTGTGGTCTAGTGGATAGAGCATCTGCCCAGAGAGCAGCAGTGGTCTAGTGGATAGAGTGTTTGCCCAGAAAGCTGATGGTTGTGATTCGATTCCAGGCCGTGCCATATGAAAAGACTTTTAAAGATGGTACTAGTTGTTATCAGGCCTGGCGCTCGGCATTAAGGGGATAAACAAGGACTAGTCAGCTCAGAATCAGTGAACTGTGTCTGAGTGGGATATTCATGTTATACGTGAGGCATGGTATCTCAGTTGGCTAGTACTATAAAACCAGCATTAGTCCAGACTAGTAGAATCAGACACACACACAAAAGTGCATGCACGTCACTATATAATAACCTTGGATGCGACGTTAACCCCATTTCACCTCACCTTTAAGAAGTTTTATTAAACATTTCAGCCTTTTAGTATGATTCGAAAAATGTTCTTTCTCCGATCTGACTGTGAATGTATAGATTCTTTGAAATATGAATTTTGAATAGTTAACCTAATTCTGAATACTTCATGAAGACTCTGAAACATTTGTGCATGTATGTTATGAATATTTACTGTGTAACAATAGTTTTATCTGTTAATGCTTCAGTTGTATAGTGGTCTTTAAAATGGTGTCTATGCACCTTTATCTCCAACTGTGCAACTGAAAAAAAAACAGGTAAAAAATATGTTTCAGTCTATTAATAGAGTACTTATGATCATCAATACTAATGACTGCCTTCTCTGTTTCAATCCAGATTATGAATGCAAAGATACGTCGCATGGAGCATTTATTAAGTTTAAAAGATGTGAGAATTGAAGATTTAGAAGTTCGTCTTAGTAATCTACAGCAAGCACAGTTGGGTCAGCACACAGGAAGAATGTAGTCCTGACGACTGCTTGCCGCTCCCCAGGACACCTGTCAGCCAGGAGACAAGGGGGAGGGGGAGGGGGAGGGGAGGTCATTCTGTGTGGGGAGGTGTCCTGGGGAGACTCAGGAACAGGGAGCAGTAACTGAGAAGTGATATTTGAAGGATAAATTGAACTGGAAGTGAAGATATTTATATGTTGTTAACAGAACAGTATACTGTTTGCTTCAATGGATAAATTAACATATTTACTTGTGAACTGTGGACTCCAGTCTTACTACGCAACAATCATGAGCTGCCTTTGATATATGTTGTTATTCTAATGTATTTGTACTTTTTGTTCTGATTTTTTAAAACAATTATGATATTTGAAGTAGAATTATCACCGTATGGATCAATACTACATTCTTGAAAGAATTTACTCAAAGATATATTTGTCATGAGATTTTTTAAACACTTTTTAAACATGTGTTTGAAGCCAATGCTGTTTGTGTTATCAAGCATGTGAACTGGTCACTGTTTTGTATGTACTAAAGTATTCTGCGACAAAAGTGTTATGAATTCAAATCATGGAAGGAGTATAAAGAGTTTGACTAATAATGTCACTTTTTGTAAGTTCAAATTTTTACTACCATGCGTTAGTTATTGTGTCATTGAGCAAAATAAATCAAAGTATCTAGTAAATTGATTTTGAATATGTTAGTTCAGTTACACTTATAAAGGTAGATGTACCAGCATTTGTTAGTTGTTGTTTGTTTTTACTGAGTGAAATATGTTTTAATATTTAGTTTTCTGTGTAAAATTGTTGTTTCATTGGCCTTTTCTTTAATTGAGTTTTGGATAGTTTGTTCAGTTCAGTTTAACATAAATCAATGTTAGTCCAACAAAGAACTGCAATTTGATATGGGGATCTTTTGAAATGTAGTGCTCTTAACACATTGTTAGGCTTTCTACCAAGTGGGATCATTACATTATGAGTCTAGTATGAGTTTCTTCCCCAAGCCTAAAACCATGAATATAACAAGAAATAGTGTGTAGTTGGTATTCATTCATTAACAACTAATGGATGAAGTATTTATATCTAGATTTGTGTCTATCTAGACCATCACAAGCTGTATTGACATGCACAAATAGATATGATATATGCACTATGACATAGTGTAGTTTAAGTTAATAAACACATTATTGTCCTCATTCACTCTGAGCACCACCCACCCAACTTGTGATTTTAATTTAAGTCTTTGATATATATAAACTCTATGCATTTGCCCAGCATTAACCTGATGGAGGAGCAAGTAGTAGCACTGAAACGTTGTGACAAAGAAAAAAAATTGTGTCATGTATTCATGATTTCAATTTGTTGGACTCAGTTTCAAGGTAAATGTTAGCCAAAATTACCTATTACCTCATCTTGTTGTTTGTTTGAAGCCCCTGGGCGTGTTGCAAGAAGCAACTTAGTGGATCGGGTGGTCAGCATGGATCATCGCTCAATATCATGGACTGAATGTCTGATTTACTGCCTGTTATCATACAGCTGGAATATATGCAGAGTGCTTCGTTAAACAACAAACAAACAAACAAACAGTCTTTCTTAGAAATACATTAAAACATAAATTGACTCCCTGCTCACTTTTCAAGGAAATATTTGAATAATAATCTGACAATTGATTCATATCAGCCTAATGTAACAATGGACCAAGATCTATTTCACATTAACTCAATTGTGATAAAATTGTGCCATATTGCACTGTTTTACAGAGTTACATGGTGTTTAGCATCGTTGTCATTCTGTGTACCCATTTCTGTGATATCCTGTACCTATGTATGTACTCATTGTTAGCAATGACTTTCTGACCAAATAAACATTGTATATTTTATGTGTCCTTCATATTTGTTTGCAGTGGTGTCATTCAAAAACCCATAAGAGGGTTGAAAAAATCCATTTTTATCCCTCGCCACGAATTTAGGCGAGGGATATAGGAACAGCGAGGGAATCTGTCAGTTTCTCGAAGGAGACCATTTTCTCAAAATCTATTTAGGTCAGAGAAATAAAATTTTACACATCAATATTGCTGGTCATGATCGTAAATGGGTTCCAAAATTGGTGTCTTAAATTCATTTTTAACAGAGTTATGGCCCTTGGTCCGTGCTTTTTAACTTAGTGCATAGTGTGTGCAACGGGATCAAGATTTCTCAGAAACTACTGAAGTTACATCAGTGAAACTTTGCAAGATTATCTAAAAGATACTTATCAAGACTGAGTTCGAATTAGTGAAAGACATGTCACCCATAGACAAAGACGTGTCACCCATTGAGAAAGACGCGTCACCCATAGAGAAAGACACGTCACCCATAGAGAAAGACACGTCACCCATAGACCCATTTTGGGTCATTTACACTGTTAATGGAGTTTGCCAGTAGGGCTTACAGCTGCTCCAGTAGTCGGGGATCTCCTTGTCACCAGCATACTGCTGTGTAGTACTACTGCATAAGGGGATGAAGCTCGCCAGACATGAGTGAGTGAGTTGGGTTTAACAGTATTCTAGTCATATCACGGCGTGTCAGCTTAATGTTGGGGGAAAGCCCGAAGAGATGCAGGTCTCAGACGTTTACACTTTGGTGAAACCCACAAGCACAGGTATGGTGTATTAGTTGTATATTGTAGGCAGTAAAATTAACTCAGAGAGGATTTTGATTTTTTGGACCACTCACTCAGTAAAAATGCTGGATCTGCCTTTGAAATTGGGACACGGGTGGCCCAGTCGTCCAAGGCGGCTCTGTGCAGAGTTGCATCCCTTGGGTACACCAGAAACCTATGACCGCCTCCGTGGTCTAGTGGTAGAGCGTCCGCCTGGAGAGCGGGAGGTTGTGGGTTAGAACCCCGGCCGCGTCATACCAAAAGACGTCAAAAGATGGTACTTGTTGTTAACTGTCTGTCGCTGGGCACTAAGGGGCTAAAACAAGGACTGGTCAGTATACTGTGTCTGAGTGGGGTATTCATGTTACACTGCAGCATGGTATCTCATTGGGCTAGCACTATAAATCGGCATCTGTCCGGACTAGTACAAGCACCTCACCTCTCCAGAAACCTATGATTGTGGATTTAAGGCCTGGTTCACCCTGATAAGGTTTCTAGGTCTGTCAGCACCATACCCGTGCTGGTGGGTTTCACCAAAGTGGTAAACGTCAGAGACCTGTAACACTTGAGGCTTTCCTCCCACGTTAAGCTAACATGCCGTGATATAACCGTAATATTGTTCTATGCAGCGTTAAAGCCAACTCACCCACTCACTCAATCTTGTCCAAACTGCCCATGAGTTGTCGATAGCATGATGGACATTTGTCAAAATGAAATGGGGGTCATATTTATATATTTGTAAACCATACACAAATGTTTGAGATATGCTTAACATTTTTCTAGGTGTATAATGGGGTCGGCCAACAGGCGTTCTTCATCAGAGTGTCAATGTAGGTTGTGAAAAACAAGCACAAACTTCTTGTGATAGTCATTAAAAAATAGAATATTCTGAAGATATGATATTGATTTACCAATTGCCCCTTTGGTTATTCTAGGGTTCTGCCTTGACATAGCTTGAATACTGTAACTGCTGCATTCATTTCATTCAATCGACTGTGCAATTTGACACAGAGGGGCACATAAATAGGAATGGCAAGGTCACCTGATAAATAATATGCATTACATGTCTTTTGACAGTTTTTGAAGAAAAATATATTCCCCTCTCACCCTACAACACTTTCCCCTGTGTACAGACACTTGACATCGTTTAATAAAATCTCTGACTCGCATCACCTGGTTTGTTGTCGCTTGTCAAAGTATCAATCCTTCTTCACTGACATAACAAACGAAGATCACACTCTGATGATTTACAGATTTTTTATAACCAATTTGCTTAGGCTGGTCAAAAATATAAAAAAATAGGATTAGCTCAATATTTTCCAAATTTATATTGGCATAAAGTTGTTTGTGTCTGTCAGTTTAGTGATAAAATGTAACTAAATGTTAATGCTGTTTAAATGCAGAATGTTTAATATTTTTATATCATTAAAATATATTTACTTACAAGAAGATTTTTGGGGGTTGCAGTGTCCAGAGATTACATTCAAAACATTTCATCAATTATATTATTTAAATAGTTGTTATGATTTTGTAGTTGTATCTTTTTATTTTTCTAACCCATCAAAGGGGAAGGAGTATGTCAAATGAAACTAAATTTAAACTATTCTTATTATCTTTCCTGATTGTGGCTTTTGGCCGAATTCCATAAATAGAAATAAAATTAGAGTTGCCTTATAAAACAGTTGACATGTAGGCAGCCTTAGCAAAGGTTATCTTTCTGTTATGATAAACAAAATAGCCTGGATGCATTTGTTACTGTAGGTTTGTTTTGGATTTGAATGAAATGATGCTAAACTCAGCTGCCCCATTAAATGACACTTGTGGAAGAGAAATACTTTTGGAAATTACAGGTAGGAGAAAAATTGATTTCACATCACTTTCCACTTCTTTTCCTTTAGATAAATATGTGTTATATATAAGCCGACTGAGAAACTTTATGCTTGGATTACCATCACCTGGGGATGAGCCCATGCCATGACTTCCTGATTGGTGGTTTGTGTGCAATGAGAGACTTGGCTAACTGTGACCAATGCATTCATCCATCTTGTAATTAAGTCCATGTGGGAAACTCAGATGTGTTTACAGTAGTGATTAAATACAACCAAAATTTGGTGAACAGAAAGAAATATATATTTTTGACTCAGCTTTGTCAACAGTCCAATAATATACAATCTCGCATATTTATGGACTACTTTGCTTTGTCACAAAAATCTATTGAGAGAAGAAAATGGCTTGAATAAGTAGTAAAAAACTGAAAATAATAATTAGAATGCAGTGTCATAAAAAAGGTTTGTTAAAAATAAGACCTTGGTTGGATGCCAAGCTCTTCCCCATTCAGGGGAGACAATCATGTATTTGTTCGGTTACTGTTAGCGTGTAATATTGTTCAAGAACCGTCATTTGCTGTTGGTAAATAGAAGTTCCGGTTTACGTTGCCTTGTGGGATACGGTATCGACTGACAACAATGTAAACTATTTGACACCGAGTTATCATAGTGATACAGTATTCTCGGTTATTGTTTTATGTTGGGTTTAATAGTTAGAATTTTATTTTGATCTTGCAAACTCTGGATTCAATCAAAGGAGGACGTGGAAGGGCTAAAATGCCTCAGAGTGAGAGTGAAATGGAAGAATTGGACGAGGCTCAACTTGAAGAACTGTACACATGGATTGATGAGATACAATTGTCACGACCAAAACGAAACATGAACAGAGATTTCTCTGATGGAGGTATTAAAAAGTTTCAATATATTCAAACTTGAGAACATGACATCTGAATTTCTGTTAGAATAATGTTGAAGATGTAGAAGTCAATCAGGTTATGTTGAAACTGATGCATTGCTCAAGCCGGGAGTCGCAATGGGTTCCCATAGTCAAGACAGTGTCTGTGTCTGTGACAGTCGGACTCATCTGACATCAAACTCATTTGACCTGAGCCTCTATGAGCATGTTGGGCATTCCTCGAAATAAGCTGACAATGAAGTGACACGCAGTGATATTGGTCACTGAAATACTGCTCACAGTTTATGTTGAGTATATTAGAACATGTTCAGTTGAATGGTGAGGTGTACAAAATATGAATACATCATGATGAGTACACACAGGTTCTGTCATCAGTGAAATCAACAGTGTTTATTTTATGTATTGGATACGTATATGATGTATGCCATTGATGAATCACACAACACATAAGCCCTAACACTGATTTAATTTGAATGAATGAAATATTTCTTAATGTGTATGCCCAGATGCCTGGGACATTGCCCATAATATCGCTCACTGGTTTGTCTGGTCCAGACTTTATTATTTTGCACATTTTGCTTTGAATAAGTTAAGCTTACTTTAGCCAAACTTATTTTTACCTTGCTTACTAGATTTTATCCCCAGGGAGCTGAAAATGAAAAATGAGTGCACTGATCCATAGACCGGGGTATTAATGTAGCGATTTGAGCATGCTCAATGATGTAGATTTGGTACATTATAAATATGCGCATTATTATTATTTTTGGCTAAATTCATAGACCTGGACATCACATTAAAAGCAGTGATTATAACTTTGCCTTGACCTTGTTATATCCAGATTTAAGGGTCTGTAGTAATCGGTTTATTACGTGTCATAGTTCTGGTGGCAGAGGTCGTAAAGCACTTCTTTCCCTGGGCCGTGCAGATCCACAATTATGTCCCCGCAAACAACATGAGGCAGAAACTGGAGAACTGGAATTTGCTCAATAGGTACCGCGGACCACTTGCTTCTAGTTCCATAATAGCGCCATCTGTTGGCAGGATGCAGTGGCAGCTGTATGCATGTAGTCAGCTGTAGTACTTCTGTAGTTGCTTGTCTATGCACCAGTATATGATACACTGAATCAGGCATGTATGGTGACAGAACCACAAAGTGACCTTATCAATTATTCTATGTTGCTTTTGCCAGCGCCACAAAGTGATCTTAGCGCTAAGGTTATGTCATATCTTCTGAACTTTAGTATGGACTCACTATAGATTTGCACTAAGATCACTTTGTGGAACAGGGCAGTGCTACTGAGTTTCAACAACCCCTCTCTAAAAAGCCTGCAATTCTAAAATCCCTCAGGATTCTTTAACATTAGACAATTGACTAGGGCTGGAGACTAGTGCCAATTGGCATCCCTGATAAAGTGTAGAATAAGTCTTCAAGACTTGTTTGTGCTAAGTTCACTTTGTGCGACTGAACCATTGTCTGTCATAGCTGTTGATGCAAGAAGTATGAGCATGTGCTCGCCGATGTTATCAATGTAGTGATGTAGTCAGGTGAGATGCAGAGTGATGTAGTCAGGTGAGTTGCAGAGTGATGCAGTCAGGTGAGTTGGACTGTGTAAATATATTTATAGCCAAGTCTGTGTGTTGCTCGACTGTCAATTTCTGTGATGAGTGAGAGAGCCATTACATGATCTATTGGTGCAGACTTCAGATTAAATTATTGACTACCACTTCCACCCCGTCGGGGCCATTATAGAACTGGAAACATAGCTGTGTTCTTTCAGATATGGAGCTTACTGAATATTGCTATTCTCCTTTGAAACGTGATCTGCTAGAGTGTAATGTTAAACCTTATCGTCCAAAACTGATAAATTATTAATTGTAAGTATGACAACAACTGGATATTATTTCAGCCTTGTTCAGCTCCTAAAGTGGCAAATATGTGGGTAGGCACTGAAACCTGATGTTTCGTTTCATGAAGACATTTTTCATCTCCAGAGCCTTAGTGGCTTTAGACCAGTTGTTTAATTATTTTTTTTCATCATAATGTGGACAATTTTGTTTGGGAAATGGATGATTTTTGTTATCCTTTGTTAACATGTTTGACACATTCTCTGTTTCGTTTGTACAGAAAGTATTGAATTGTGTTTGCATTAAGTAATTTTCAAACATAAATCCCGACTCTCCACCAAAAGGTATGAAGCAAAAACAACTTTCTCAATATTTAGCAGGAATTAATCAATCTTAGATAAATTCCTTTTTAGAAGCTAGTAATAAGTAAGAAAGGCTATTATTTCAGTTGTATATTACTATTATAAGCAAACTGATTTCAATAAAACAAATTCTCCATTTGTGGATGAAGTGTCTGCCCAGTGTGCATGTACATGGTTCTGTCACTCAGCTAGACACCTGTATTGTCTCTAGGCTCTACATCGTCATCTATGCATCCTGTCCCTGCCTCTTGTTTTCAGTGCTAGTTGCTGAAGTTGTGAAACATTTCCTACCACATATTGTGGACCTCCATAACTACCCACCGGCCAACTCTTCACAGCAGAAATTATCCAACTGGTACATGTTGAACAGGTAATGATAACAGTACACCATGCAATACAGTGACGCTCTCACTTCTTGCCTCTACAAGATTTGTGTTCTGTGATAATTTGTATCATAATAAAATAAATAATAATAATAAAATAATAAAGATTATTTTTATCGTCATCATTATTACCCGGTATTATTATTATCATCATCATCATCATCATCATCATCATCATCATCATTATTATTATTATATATAGATAAACAAGATCTGATAAACAATGACAAGTAACTTTAAACTGTATATGTGTAGACTAATCCTATTGGGGTAGGAGATAATATGCTTAAAAGTGTAGACAACATCAAATAGTACTTAATTTTCCAAAAAGGTAACATTTGACTGTTTTGCCATGAGTACTGGAAGACTAACAAATTCATTAAGTTTTGTATTTCATTTTCCTTGTTTCTATTTTTCCATTAAGATGTGTATGAGTATATCATCCACACATCCTTCTCCTTGTACTATCAACCTTCTGGATGCTTGTAGATCTGAGTAGAACCTGCTTGTGGTTAGATCCCAACAAATGTACCATGGATTTGTCTGCAATTATAAACTCTTGCACTTAAACCTCTTACAGGGCAAGAGACACACAGTATCAGTATTTCATAATAAAATGCAGTCAAGTTATATTCTGAAAAAAATGTGATTGATGAGACAAGTTTTGATAGCTCGTCAGATCCCACAAGAATGTAAGTTATAACATAAGACTGATATGTTTTTATATTTGTAATGACTTTTATCTATAAAATACAGCAGTGATACTGCCATCACAGTATGGACCATTCTAATGCTTGTGAGTGTTGACAGTCATTGTGAAGGCTGCTGTAAAGAGCAGTGTGAAACTTTTCTTGAATTTGATATTTCGTTTTGGTCATCACAAATGAGATTGAGACTGGGTAGGGTGGGGAGGGCGTAGAGGTGATTGAGACTGGATGGCAACACTGTGAGGGGTGGGGAGGGGTAGAGGTGATTGAGACTGGATGGCAACACTGTGAGGGGTGGGGAGGGGTAGAGGTGATTGAGACTGGCAACACTGTGAGGGGTGGGGAGGGGTAGAGGTGATTGAGACTGGCAACACTGTGAGGGGTGGGGAGGGGTAGAGGTGATTGAGACTGTGGCAACACTGTGATGGGTGGGGAGGGGTAGAGGTGATTGAGACTGGCAACACTGTGAGGGGTGGGGAGGGCGTAGAGGTGATTGAGACTGGATGGCAACACTGTGAGGGGTGGGGAGGGGGTAGAGGTGATTGAGACTGGGTGGCAACACTGTGAGGGGTAGGGAGGGGTAGAGGTGATTGAGACTGGATGGCAACACTGTGAGGGGTGGGGAGGGGGTAGAGGTGATTGAGACTGGATGGCAACACTGTGAGGGGTGGGGAGGGGGTAAAGGTGATTGAGACTGGCAACACTGTGAGGGGTGGGGAGGGGTAGAGGTGATTGAGACTGGATGGCAACACTGTGAGGGGTGGGGAGGGGTAGAGGTGATTGAGACTGGATGGCAACACTGTGAGGGGTGGGGAGGGGGTAGAGGTTATTGAGACTGGGTGGCAACACTGTGAGGGGTGGGGAGGGGTAGAGGTTATTGAGACTGGGTGGCAACACTATGTTGAGGGCAACAATACAGCAACATTTTGATCAGATACAAGCAATAAGTCAGCAGATAGTCGTCAGGTGTAAATCCTCACCTACCTGATCGGTGTTCTGGGGTGGAGGGACACTCAGCTGTGTCTCAGACACCACCTAGCTTTAACATGTGTATGTCAGGGAGACTTACTTTGATTTCAAATGCCAGCAAGCCAGTCCAAATGAACTTTTATGTATTAGTGATATAAATATTCATCTGAAGTAATGTTGGAATAATCATGACTTTACCATTGTTTAGAACTTGCTAATAATGAACCCTGTCAATATGTGAGATGTATGTATGACAGCGCTGTATCAGCATGGGTACCGTTATACAAAGCAATCTTAGCGCTAAAGTGATCATAGCACCCATACCTTAACATAGACCTGTGACAGTCGTAGCGCTAAGGTTGTTTTGTACAATGACACCCCGGTATGTCTGTGGATGACGTCAAAGGCTGCATGTACTTCACACTCTGCTGTTGTTGCATGTTGTACACATTGTATCACTGCATGTTGTACACATTGTATCACTGCATGTTGTACTTCGCCATGTGACCCGTGAAGATCCGGGGTAGAATAGGTCTTCAGCAACCATTGCTTGTCATAAAAGGCAACTGTGCTTGTTGTAAGAGGCGACTAACGGTATTAGGTGGTCAGGCTCACTGACTTGGTTGATACATGTCATCGTATCCCAATTGCGTAGATCGATGCTCATGATGTCAATCACTGTATTGTCTTTCAAACTCGATTATTTACAGACCACTGTCATATAGCTGGAATATTGCTGAGTGCGGTGTTAAACAACAAACAAACAAACTTCACCATGTACACAGTCAGATATACTGTGCTACCCTCATGGCCACCCATTTGAAAATACACAATGGGAAGCATTGTTTTGAAGATACATCATCCATTGCTGGGTTACACACAGGTCAGAGCTCCAGATAAGCTGCGTATCTGCGTAGAATACGCATCAGAAATTACAGAACATTACAGATAAGCTACAAAAATAAAACTTGTGGGTATCATCAAAATATTGTGAAGTAACCCTGCGTATTCGATTAGCAAATCAGTAACTTATTTTGAAATTATAAACAGGCATTCCGTCAACCTTGCCAAACTCCACGATGACAGTTACGTCACGATCATTTGCCATCACACTTTCTTTTGGAAGTATTGTGGTATTTTTGAGTCCTATAAAGCTCTCGAACCCACACAACACCAGTTTGCAGGGACTAGATTAATTGTGTTTTTAAATATTTAACTTAATTACCCACGTGTAAAAACTAGTGGGTAACAGAAATTTGAATACCCAGATAGAATTACTGATACCCAATGATTTTAAAATGCGTGGGTAAAATACCCACAACACTAAAAGCTTATCTGGAGCTCTGCAGATGTCGACATTTCGTGGGTAATAATTAAACAATATCTAATTTAGGTGAGAGATTTTTCAACATGTTTTAAACATGACGAGTATGTTGTTCGAGCTGGATTGTGAGGGGGGGGGAACATTTAGTAGGGTGAGTAGTTTTGAGAGGGTGGAACTTGGAAACCCACATCAATAAATAGTTGGCTACCTTCTCCCTTCACTGGTTGTTATACTGCCCAGCAACTGAGAAGACACCGGTAGTGTGACACAAGTAGCAGTATATCAGTGTGTATAGTGCTTTTATTAGATAAGAGTTGATTGTTGTAAGAGGCGACTAACGGGATCGGGTGGTCAGGCTCACTGACTTAGCTGATGCATGTCATCATATCCCAATTTCGTGGATCGATGCTCATGATGTCAATCACTGGATTGTCTGGTCCAGACTCAAATATTTACAGACCGCCATCATATAGCTGGAATGTTGCTGAATGTGGTTATTATACTGCCCAGCAACTGAGAAGACACCAGTAGTGTGACACAAGTAGCAGTATATCAGTGTGTATAGTGCTTTTATTAGATAAGAGTTGATTGTTTTATTGGAGAAATTGTTTTGCTCTGACATGTCAAGTCCCATCAACATGTATACCAAATTTCATATAAATGGTTCTTATTGAACCCAGGTTCATACAGTTTTATGCAATTACTAAGTTAAATTTTTGGGGATCCAAAATTAGTGTGTTGAGTTGAAGCCCGTGATGATCCGGGGTAGAATAGGCCTTCAGCAACCCATGCTTGCTGTAAAAGGCGACTATGCTTGTCGTAAGAGGCGACTAACGGGATCGGGTGGTCAGGCTCACTGACTTAGCTGATGCATGTCATCGTATCCCAATTTTGTGGATCGATGCTCATGATGTCAATCACTGGATTGTCTGGTCCAGACTCGAATATTTACACACCGCCATCATATAGCTGGAATATTGCTGAGTGTGGCATTAAACAACAAACAAACAAACAAATAGATCAAGTTGATGGTGTATCATCCTTCTGCATTCTATGGCGTGATGATCAAGAACACATTGTCAGTGAATAGGAATACATTCAAATGTTACCCAACTTGTTAAGATGGTAAAGGGACAGACATTTTTTTGTTTATTTAGTTTAATGTTGTTAGCATTCTACTGTTGGTTAAAATGCAGTTGACAAGCTGTAATTTGTTGAAAAATGTCAACAGTGTATAACGTGATTTAAATTACAGTCTTTGGTATGTGCCTACATTAGTTATTATTTGTAATGATCAGTGGTAACATGTTGAGAAGTGTGAGAGGGTCTGTATTAGGGCTGTTACAATTCTCTCGCATATTCGGTGAAATGAACCGTATCCATTCATGAATTGAATTTAATATTCGTGGCCACTAGAATCGAATATTTATGAATATGCAATCATGTACATTTACATACCCTGTACCTAAAAACATCCATAATATCCACATATTACGTACATGTATATGCATAGATTTCTTCAAAGACAGCACTCTTATAATATTTAATTTGACAATGTTGTGGTCACTCGTCACTGTCAAATTTGAGCAGACACTAGTACCTGGATAAGTGGAGTAAATAAATGTATATTATATTAATAATTAACAAACCATGTCAAATAATTTATGTTGTTATTGTTTCACTGAATATAACAGTAATACGTCAACTGTTGACTTCTCATTGTATTCGTATATTAATATTCGTATTTGTTACCCTATATTCGTGATACGAATGGTATGCGCCTCATAGTGTATTCATGGCAGCCCTAGTCTGTATGAATCTGTCAGTGTGTGAGACTTGCTTCAGTTTGTCTTATGTTCCGCGTCTCCAGGAAGGTGTTTGACAAGATGAACTTCCAGTTGTCGGAGGACGTGATCCGCAGCGTGGCGGGATGCAAGCCGGGCGTCATAGAGAAGGTGATGTTGATGGTGAGGACGAAGATCGACCTTGCCAGACATCAGATCCACAAGAACAAGCAGATGGGGGTGGGACCGGGCCGAAGTTCTGGACTCAGCAGTGACAAGCCAGAGGTTGACCAGAACATGGGTGAGTGGGCTACCCTTTATAACACGTTGCTTACATCCTGACTACAGTTCAGCACTGGACATAGGAAGATTAATGATAGTGGTCGTCATGACTACTGTGTAAAGAAATCTTGCAAGCGTCTATTGGACAGAATAATTTGCATTGATTGTAGTGGTTGGATGATACACTGATGCATCAATGGAACGCGATATTTCACTTCCCGATACAAGTATCAATCACAGTTGCACACTAAGTAAAAAGTATTGATTCTTAACTTAAATGTATTCTTTTATGAATTACACCAAACACTAATTAGTTGTGAAAATGAGTAGTGAAAAAGTAAATATTTTCATCCATTGCGCCATACTTGACACTGCCAGCTGTAAATCATCAGTGTGCTAGGTATTTGAATATCCTGTCTGTGAAAAATATGGGTTACGCACTACAGTTACGAGCACTTACAAATATTGTGATATGTATCGGATCGTGAGCAAGGTATCGTGGTATGTTTCGGATCGCACAGTTGGTGTATCGTCCAGCCCTAATTGATAGAGTGTTGTGCCGTGCTTCTGACATGTTCTCTTCCTCTGCAGCCATGTTGCCACCAGCAGTCCGCCTCCCCAAGGCCAGGACAGGTCCCGGTGTGGCGGCCAATGCAGGGCCGTACAAGGGGTCAGTCCTTGCATCCATCTGTCTTCTCCGTCATACTTAATACGCATCATCTGTATAAGCCAAGCATAACTTAAGTCGTCTGTCTGTCATGTGTCAGATCTTTGTTTACCAAGAAAAAGCATCATACACTTGTCAACTTGTATTTCCTTTGACCACTGATAGACTTGGCTCATGTGGACGAATAATTTTGATTTAGCTCTTTTGGACGTTTTGTACTTTTCACGTCATCATGGGTGTGTTGTCTTGATTTGGTCAGTCAAATAGGAAGGACATGAGTTTGACTTTCATTGCAGATTGTAGTGTTTGTCTGCCTGGACACTTGGGCAATCTTATTACAATCAGATCTTTTGCTCTGATAAAATACGTCTCTGTGTGCACATCTGAGGAGTCACAGTAGAAGGTGGTGTCAGGTGAACCATCTACTGAGCCAGTCTCATCTTCCTGAGGCAAGGGAGTTAACTGACTTTAAAAGTCCAGTTTCCACCCCTGCCGAACAAGGCTGGAATTATGGAGTTATATTTTGGCTGGACTAACAAGTCTATGCATAGTCCCATCAAAATCGTGTAACAAAATCAACATCCCCTTTGTTAACAGTCGTGTGGATTTCGGCCCAGAAATTCCAGTCTCATTCGGCAAGGATGGAAACTGGACTTATAATGTCAGTTAACTCCCTTGCCTTGGGAAGATGAGCCAGTCTGTGTCCAGGCTTCTAAATTCTCGGTGAAACATTCAGACAAGCATACCTGATTTGTGTATGGCAAAACCAAATGTAATCGGGCAGTTCCGAATACAAAAGAAAATCTGTGCTATTGTATTGTTGTAGATACTTTATACATTCTGTCATTTCTGAGTTCCATGGCATCATACCCAAAAGGGTGTACTATGAGGCATATAAGTAATTATTTGTGGTGGTTATCGTCTGCTAAGGTAGAAATTTCTGAAGTAAGGCAGTAAAAAAATGAAGCCGCATCATTTTAGAAAGCTGACATCTGATTGGCTCTAGAACCTGCACATCCTTCATTTAGACTGGGGGGTCTGAGATTGCTCAGGTTTCACATGATGTGATCAGCTATGGAGATGTTTTCAGAGGTAAAAGATCTGATTTTAATAAGATTGCGTTTCAGAGAAAACGGCTTGTGACTTGATATTGTGTACAGCCTGTTATATGTAAACTGAATAATAATGTCTCTTCCAGGTCAAAGGGCAAAGGTTTCATGGACAATGATGTCGTCCCTCGAATCTTACTTGAGGAGAAGGAACAGGAATGTTTAGCCAAAGATGAAACGATACAGGTGAGTGAGTGAGTGAGTGAGTGAGTGAGGAAGGAAGGAAGGAGTAGGTTTCATACAGGTCATGGAATATGTCATGGCAGTTCCAGTCTCCCAGGCCTAGAATAGTTTTGGAAAATACAAATAAAGTTTACCAGTATTTTTTTCTGTTGATACTGACAGGCAAATGAATGCTTTCACCAAAGTCAAGTAAAATTTGAATTAATTGAGTTATGTTTGTTATTTTGTTGTAATTCTTATTGAAAATCATGGCATAATACCATGGAAAAGTCATGATATTTGTCAGACTAGCAGTGTTAGTCCTGCACCATGACCGTGGAATATATTTATTTTATGAAAAAAATATATCTAGAAATGTATACAAAAGCAAGTCTAGCCAGCTCAAGCTAGCTCTATTCCACATCAGCATAGGGAATTTTTTTTTATTTTTAGAGTCAGAGACTAAATTTTAGTCTCTGACTCTAAAAATAAAAATAAATTATTTAATGTTAGTCTATAGCAGTGTATGAATCACAGTTTGTTTAATTGTTCGTGAGTGTTTTATAGCAAATAAACCCAAGTACCACTACATCATTGCCAGCCATACCAGATCCTAGACACTTTTATCCAAATATCATGGCATTTGCTATTCAAGTGCAGAACATGGTTACACATGCTTAACCGCATGTGTGTTGGTGAACTGGAATAGTCCTTCAGTCATAGATGTTTGATATGAAATACATCGCTTGGCAGATGGTGTTGCAGACTGGGCTTGTGTTGTGTTTCAGATACTGCAAGCCAAAGTACGCCGTCTGGAACATCTGATTCACCTGAAGGACATCCGCATCGACGACCTGCAGAGCAAAATTGAGGCCACACGACCCACGGGGAGGAGATGAGGTCGGCCCCAGCGGAGCAGAGCTGATCACAGGTCCACCTGTCACATGGGAGTGGGTGGGGAGGGGTTCGGGCGGGTAAGGGCAGGTGGTAGTAGGGGTCACATGTTGATATTTATATCTGATTTTAAAGATTTTCTGTTGATTATACATTTTAGTATTAAATTCTCACATTGGTCACCTTGATGAGTAAACTAGGGGAGCACCCTTTGTAGATACACATATGTGTGCTTATTACATTTATTTGCATTAGGGACAGAGTTGTCTCCCCTGTGTTCCCTTGGGCACTCTCGGAGATTTGATCACTGTCCTTTACTCAATAAAGACTATTGTCTGATGTTTTATTTTTATATGACGGTGATATAGTAGGGACAGAGTGGTCTCCTCTATCTTACTGAACATTCAAAGAGATTTGATCTCTTAAAATGTGATATATTTGTTATGGATGAAATGTATATCTTAGTCATGTAAGGTTTGAGTTATATCAGATATGCATTTAACTAGAATGTTAGTAATATATATCTTGAAAATATGAAGGATATTCTTGAATAGGTTTGTATTTTTGCAAACCATATCAGAGAATTTTCAGAAGACAACTGTGTTATTTTGAATGGGAAATAAGACAATGGTTAAGATATTGTTTTTGTCTTTAGACATTCCAAATCATAGTAAAGATATATCTATAGAAACTTGTTGATTTCCATGGTAAAATATATCAATATATATCAATCAATGTTGATAGGATTGTAAACATAAATTTGAATTCACTTTGATAAAACTGTACTTATATTTGAAAGTGTTGTTAAGATGGTGTGTGGAAGTATTTTTTAAGTATTTTTGGAGAATTTGCCAGTGTGTTGAACTGTTGCATGCATAGCAGGACTCGACATTCGACACTTCCACTGACTTTGTATTTTGAGCAGTGTAACCAATCACAAATGATTGCTGAATTTTGTAAACATCTGATTGGATGGTGACCAATCACAGACAGCCAATCAAACACTCTCCCAGTGAACTGAGAATACATCTAACACTTGTATACTGAACATGTTTTTACGAATTGACCCAGGATCCACAATGGCCCAGTAAATGTTCTTGTTGACCTCACATTTGCCTGCATTTTGTCTGTCTTGATGGTTCATGTGCCTGTTTATACTAGGTTAGATCTGTTCTACCTACTTAAGTGTTTTACTAAACAATAATGAAAGGGTCAGTTCATATAAAATAGAAAAATGTTGACTTTTTGTGGAGACTTAATGTGTAAATATCAAATTAAAATGCCAAATAAAATGTACAATGTTTTATTTATATTTTCAATTTGAACTCATAATTGAGAAAGTTCTTATAGGATTAGAAAAATAATAAGTCTGGTTTGATATCTTGTGTTGACACATCCCTCTGCACCACATCTTCCCGAGGCAAGAGAGTTAACTGACTTTAAAAGTCCAGTTTCCACCCTTGCCGAACAAGGCTGGAATTTCTGGGCTCAATCGTAGCGCCACCAGTGGCTATTACCAGTTATGTCATTTCTAAGCCTCTCCGACCGCCTCCGTGGTCTCGTGGTAGAGCATCCGCCCGGAGAGCGGAAGGTTCGGGGTTCGATCCCCGACCGCGTCATACCATAAGACGTTAAAAGATGGTACTTGTTGTTACCCTGTCTGGCTCTCGGCATTAAGGGGCTAAAACAAGGACTGGTCGGCTCGGAGTCAGTATACTGTCCCCAGAGTGGGGTATTCATGTTAAACACACACGTACATGCACGTCGCTATATAAGTGCAATAATCTTGGACGCGACGTTAAACCCCATTTCACCTCACCTCACCTCTAAGCCTCTCCTATGGGCCAATCAGATTCCACCTCTCGTATCACTTGCATTTGCTTCACACAAAATGGTGGCACCCAGTCAGGACGATCTGATCGATAATCAAGATCTATGTTGTGATAAAACGGGTCTTACATCGCGAAATGCATCAAATCACGTGAGCACCTTGATTAAAAACATGAAAAGATTTGGAAAATATCTGCTGACAACGAGTTGGCGGTGCACATGCTTTGCAAATCCTGCAATCGATCGAAATCTGCACAACAGTTTAAGAACCAGCCTAGTTCGGCAAGGGTGGAAACTGGACTTTTATAGTCAGTTAACTCCCTTGCCTCGGGAAGATGTCTGCACCATGAATGCAAGTGTGTCTGTGTTTGTCCGTGGTTTGTACTCACTATAGTAACAACACAGGCTCTCCTCCTCGACTGTTTGACATCATTTGAGTTCCAATTATTGCAATATGAACTTGTATTGTTAGTTGTTATATTCATTCTGGCCAATATATTACAGTTTGTTTATACATTACCATGCATTCCAATGTGTATGTGTTATTTCCGCTATATGAAATGTATTTTAATTTATTTACATATTTACATTGATATCCTCACGTGGTTTATGTGTCCGACAGCCTTGTCTCACAGGTTTGTTTTCGTGTTCTTTAAATGAAAGATTTGATCATGCCCAAGACAGAAATAAAAAAAATCAAATTAGGCTTTAAAAAATAACAGAATTGGTTCTCAGGCAATGTTTTTTTCAAAATATAGGCGGGCGGATCTTATTTTTTTAGGTTCATACTATGTAACCAAATAAATAGTTGTGTAGCCAAATAAACAATGTGTACAATCAACCTGGGAAAGGGCCACCGTTGTATTCCTTGATGAGTAAAATACTGGAATACTGTATTTGACTACAGTTGGACTTATTAAAGTTTTTTTGTTTTCTTCAAAATGGAAATAAAAACAAAATGTGTGGCAAACTTTATGATGATGTGGGCGGTGCCTGAGAACCAAGACTATTCTTTTTTCAGCCTTAGCTATGGAGGGACTGAAAACAATAATGAATATTAACTTTCAGATTATTGTTCAGGAGAGGCCATTTTTTGGGACACGTCTATCCTCATTTTATCAAAAAGGTTAAAGAAATCTATTAAAACTGCTTTGCATGAGTGATCTTAAAAATATCTTTTGTTTCTGTATTTGTTTAAACACTTATTTTAACATTATTTTTAAAAAAATAATCTCAAATCCACCTGGTCATTCTTTTATCTGATATCCTGTCATGGTAGACTGACCAACAAAAAACATTCAACAATATTTTAAATTGGTCATACCTAGAATATGAAGAAACTTTGCATGAGGTGATCGATCATAATTGGACCTAATGGCCTATGCTCTAGTCACACTGTGAACAGTCTTGGATGATAGGACAGGGAACAGCTTTAGGCAGATCTGGACCTTCATACCTATGTAAATGGAAGAGTAGAATACTAGAATACAGTTACCTGCCTACCATAGCAGCATGTAGTTATACTCTGTAGATCACATACTTTCATAACCCATCATTATCAGTGTATGCATTAATAAACCGTTGTGGTCTTTTCTAGTTTATTGTTTCTCAGTAATTGGCACAAGGGACTTTACAAACATGTCATGTAGAGCGATGAGCACAGATCAAGTTGAGAATCACTTGAAACAAGATGAAGATGACATGTAGCTGAATGTGATGCTGACCTCTGCAAACGCAGTCTCCTCCCACTGGACCAAGCAAATACAAATGATCACACAGAGTTGTTCAAATGGTTCCGATCCATTTATCAATGTTATTGTTTTAAGAATGAAGAAAATGTTGAAATATCTGAGGGGGTGGGGGTTAATTCTCAACTGTATACTCTCCTGGGAGCTGACCTATGCTTTGAATGCACACTGATCGTCAGAGGAATAATTATGTCAGCTTGAGTAAATATTGCTTTAACTGCATCAACAGTATTTCAGCTCTTCACAGGTTGGTTGGTTGGATGGTTGGTTTGTTGTTTTACGCCGCACTCAGCAATATTCCAGCTATATGACGGCGGTCTGTAAATAATCGAGTCTGGACCAGACAATCCAGTGATTAATATCATGAGCATCAATCCACGCAATTGGGACCGATGACATGCATCAACCAAGTCAGCGAGCCTGACCACTTGATCCCGTTAGTCGCCTTTTACGACAAGCATAGTCGCCTTTTACGGCAAGCATGGGGTGCTGAAGACTATAGGTTGGAAATATCTGAGGCTACGAAGCTCAAACTTTAAGGTATAGTCACAATGCCTACAGTGTTTGAAACAAACTGAACAAATAGAGTTAGGGATCGTGAATATTTTGGGAGACATTTTTTTGTTGTGAAGACTGACAGAGCACACAAGTTCTTAAAAATATCCCCCGAAATATTCATGATTAATACCGGTACCTTTTTGGTTCTTTATAAAAAAAATTGCCAGGCTCCCATCAGGTTCCACAGACTTCAGAAGCTGCAGTCCCTGACTAAACTCTTCAGGTCCTCATTTAAATAAGGAGGCACGGGTGGCCCAGTCATCTAAGGCGGTGCGATTCGCTGTGCAGAGTTGCGTCCCTTTGGCACGCCAGAAACCTATGATTGTGGGTTTGAATTCCGGTTCACCGATAATGTTTCTAGGTTTATCAGCACAATACCCGTGCTCGTGGGTTTCACCGAAGTAGTAAACGTCCGAGACCTGCATCATTTCGGGCTTTCCTCCCACATTAAGCTGACATCCCGTGATATAACTGGAATACTGTTAAAATTGGCGTTAAACCCAACGCACTCACTCACTCATTTAAATAAACCATGCAGATTATTGTGACCAACAATTTGACACATAAATTTACTGCAGGCTATAAGGACCCATATTCATTTGAAACTATGGGCCCAACGCAAGATCTACCTGACAGTGATAAATTGCTGTGTCCAACTCATCAGTTGTCTTTCATGCCTGCCCATCTGATCCCAATTTGTCACCATGACACTTGCTGAGAACCTATTCCAGCCCAAATCACCAAGATGTAAGCTACCACCAAATGAAACTGTCGTCTACATCACCATACAACTGTGGAGGATGTTCGATTGACAATAGATTACAGCAAATACCTAACAACAAAACATAAATGTCAACAATTTTAGATACCTGTTTACACTGATGCATGAAGTTTATAAATACATGTATATACTAGGCAATTCGATATTAATTACTGACAAATCTCGTGAGTGAGTGAGTATGGTTTTATGCTGCTTTTAGCAATATTCCAGCAATATCACGGCGGGGGACACCAGAAATGGGCTTCACACATTGTACCCATGTCGGGAATCGAACCCGGGTCTTCGGTGTGATGAGCGAACACTTTAACCACTAGGCTACCCGACCTCCCCTCAAATCTCATGAACAACACTATGATGCATTTAGGAGCCCATTGTTGTCCTTCAGCATTATCCACGTTTACACTACTGATCCAGGCATGAACCCAACTCACTCACTCACTCACTCTGTTCAGACCGCCTCCGTGGTCTAGTGGTAGAGCGTCCGCCCGGAGAGCGGAAGGTTCGGGGTTCGATCCCCGGCCGCGTCATACCAAAAGACGTTAAAAGATGGTACTTGTTGTTACCCTGTCTGGCGCTCGGCATTAAGGGGCTAAAACAAGGACTGGTCGGCTCGGAGTCAGTATACTGTGTCTGAGTGGGGTATTCATGTTAAACTGCGGCATGGTATCTCAGTGGGCTAGCACTATAAATCGGCATCAGTCCGGTCTAGTACAAGCAGCCACACAAACACACACACGTACATGCACGTCGCTATATAAGTGCAATAATCTTGGATGCGACGTTAAACCCAATTTCACCTAACCTCACCTCACCTCACTCTGTTCAGAGTCGCATCCCTGAAGCATGGCAGAAACATGATTGTGGGCTTGAAAGTCAGACTTAACATGATCATGTTTCCCAAAGTGGTAAACAACTTGGCCATGCATCTCTTCAAGCTTTCCTCCCACATCAGGCTGAGACAATGTATAGACTGAAATGCTGTTCCAAGTCACATTAAAGAGTCACTCTTAAAGACAACATAGATCCCCTGTAACGGTGTGTACACAACAAATATCAACACATGAGGAGTTGAAGAAAAACATATATTTTGACATTCAATACATGAATACATTGATGCATTGTACGCCGGTAATACTGAAGCAAACAAGGTGCACTGACCAAGACGGTCAGCCGTGGATTTCACAACAGGTATCTGAACAATTGTATTTATAATCACATTCATCACATAAATAACCAAAAATAAATAACCAATAAACATATGTCAGTAATAATCAGGTGTTTCGTTCCTGGAACCGAGTATTCTCAATACCATTAATGTTATCAAAGAAAGAAATTGTAAAGAAAATCCTTTGTTTTCAAACATAAAGTAAAACATTCCTAACCTCCTCTCTTTCCAGTGTGTAACATCATACCAATAGTATGTGTACTGACCCGATGCATACCTCATTTGATGGTAACCTCATTTGATTATAGACCAATCAGTATTTACTGTCAGAGTAATCATTTGATATAGGGTACATGTAAAACATTAATGAAATTGCTAGCCTTATTTTGTATGACCATTTTCAGGATAAAAGTAATATCAACAAATTGAAGACATTTTTTTTTCTGGGACCCTCTGATCTTAAACTCTAGCTATTGGTCTACTTCTAATGTGACACACAGGCAGATTCTGACATTCATCCACTGAGTTGCTTGTATAGTTCAGGCACATAGTCATCGTATTCAGCAAGGAAGAAGTTTCCTGCCACAAGCTCAGACAAGCCACTATTCTTCAGAAAGTCACGGATCGAATGCTTGGCCCGACCTTCTTGACTTCGATTAGTCAACTTCTTGAGGCCGAAATCCTTTTTCCCAAATGGCTGTTTGTAAAGCAAGAACACATATCTGTGAAGACCTGAAAAACACAATAAATCATGGAGGACGGGCTATGTACTGATCTGTTCATAAAACAGTGTCTGAAAACAATAACAAAGCCAGGGAGGAGTATTCCGACAGTCAATCAGACAACACCCATGACTGAAATGAACATTGACTCAATAATGATTAAAGTTCCGTCAGTAAAAACGAAAGTCCGGTTTTGCCAGAGTTCAAAATTAGGTCTGCTCATTTGAAGGAAGTAAAATTAATGAAAGACAAGTGACATTTCCTTGAGGACTACCACTTTTACCATTAGGTACATGGCAACTCTGTAGCATGACTAGTGACATTTCCTCGTGGACTACCACTTTTACCATTAGATAGATGGCCACTCTGTAGCAGGACCAGTAACATTTCCTTTTGGACTAGCACTTTTACCATTACATAGATGGCAACACTGTAGCACATACTTTTTGCAGACCCTGCAATTTGATTTTAATTTAAGCCTGCAGTTAACTGTAGTACATTATTCAATCACAGCTGCTAGCACCAGGTTTTTCAGATGTATGTATCTGCAGACATGAATCTGATGTATCTGCACATGAATCACAATGTACCCAGTCCAGGAAATACATGAAACTAGCCTTGGCTCTGATGATTGACAGCAATGTTTATGTTTTTCTCCCATCGTACAAGGGAAGATAACCCACTGATGGGATGGAAACTTTTAATAGCTTCATAGTTACCAGATACCAGCCATGTGGTTCCCAAGAAAAAACTTGTGGATTTAATTACCTTGTTTTGTTTATTATTAAGAACAGGCTGAATCAGTATGACCAGAGCACTCCAAATCTCAGAAAACTATAGAAATGATAGAGAGATTTGAGGTTTCCCACCTGTTTCAGGGGGTGGGCCAGCTCCGACATACTCGGCCATCGTCTCTCCATCAGAGAGTCTCCCCCCAGGGATGTTGACAACCAGCCAGTGATGCCACTCCCCATACTTGGGGTCAGCCCTACTTGGAGCATCAGGGTCTGGAAAACAAAGGTTTCACTCTCACCTACCCAAACATAGCACTTCAGAAAAACAGTTTTATTATAATGAATTGTAATGACTGATTCAATTGTGAATTGGTATATATGTGAAAAAGCATTATTGCCTAATATGCTAATGCAAATTACAACAAATGACATTTAATTAAAACAACAATAAAATCGTGAAATGATATTTTACTTTACACAGCACACAGAAACTTTTACAAGCAAACCTTGCAATAGCAATAGTATTCATATCTTGACATTAGATATCTTACTTACTGTATTCGACGTATTAAGCGCCCCGCTGTAATAAGCGCCCACGGCGATATTTGCTAATATATTGGGTAGTGAACAATCCAAATTAGCACCCCTTCCGATTGATCAATGTACACAAGGCTTATTTATTTGTGTAAAATACGCACTCGTGTGTTATATGCACCCTTAATTATGGGCAATTAAATTCTGGAAAAATTTATCTGTTGTATGTAAACATTTCAGGCTGTCAGCATAAACCACAAAATTTACGATATTTCAACTCTCTTTTCTTCATCAAAATAATATTCTAATAAGAGCCCCCTATTTGTAATTTTGAGAACACCCTGGGCGCTTATTACGTCAAAGACTTTAATTAAATTATACCCAAGCAGTAGCAGGAGCACAAAAAGTGTCATAGATCTTAGATCTAACATAGATCAAAATCATAGACCTAACACAGAACTCATAATAAATTTCTTGGTCAGCATTATTTAAAAAAACGTAGCAGCCTGGGGCCGGCAATCAGTGATGGACAGCATGAGCATAGGGTACAATGACATGATGAGTAAGGATGAACATTTTGATTCTCCTTTTTATTTGAATCTCAAAAATAGAAATGAATGGGGTTCAGGGGACATATTTTGATGGAATTCCCAGGAGAAATCAACTGCAGTACTACAAAGTGCAAAGATAAGGTCATGTCTGAAAATCTACCATTCATAATGAGAGTGTAGAATGCATCCGGCTCTGCATCATACGTAATAACTGGCAAATCCTTAACATCTGTTGGTGTCAGAACCATTCCAGGCTCCACTATTCTGGTTCCATAAGAAATCTGAAATCAACGGAAGCAGTGATGAACTTGTCTGTGTAGAAACAGAGAAACAGCTCCATATACTTTTTGACATGATATGTATCAAATAAATAGCTGATAACAGTTTCAATGTTTGCGTGTAGATAATATATTAACTCTACTGGCATCTGTCAAGACCAAATCTTTGTTCTGCAAACACAACAAAACTGCAGCAAAAATAGATAGATGCTTGGGGTGGTCATCAATGAACGAATGTGTTTGTTGTTTTTTGTTGAATTGAACAAACCTTGCAGTCATTATTTTCAATTCCTCATGTATATCGTTTCCAAACAAGGCGTAAATATTAGACTATGCAAAGAGCATCTGATATCTTTCTGGGCCATAAAAAACAGCTTTCAACAAACAAAACAACTTTGATATGACATAAAATACAGCTTTGGTGGAACATATGTTGCCTATAAACTAGCCTACAATTGGCTACGTGCAACTAAAATGCGTTAAGGCGGGATTTTACTCGTTCAAGTTTATATCTATGTAATATGTGAAGACTGCAGCAACAGAACTTCAGTTTTCGTGCATAACATAATTCGTGATTCTTTCACACAAGATGAATGACATTTGTAAACTTCACACATATTTCAAATTCTATAACGCATGGAAGATTTCTATCAAGTGCAAATACGTACTCGTAGTTGTTTAAGAGGTGGGGCATCAACAACATCGGGAACCACACCGTCTTTCCTGAAGACTTCCATCATTTTCAACCTTGACCTTACCGAAGCAGACGGATATGAAGCCCTCCCCAAAATTGATTGGATTAAATCCTGAAATAAATAAAGAGTATTTTATTGTTCGAAAATCATGCTTCTGTACAATTTATGGAGCGACGGATTCGATAATAAACTGTAAAATCATACAATACTTTTTGTACTAGTGCCTAATGATTAAGCCCGTCTCGTGTGACGTCACCATGCAAAACATGGAAGTCGATTTGTTTGTGTTTTGGTGTTGAAGGAATATGGTATATTTTCTGTGCAGGGAGGGTAAATATACAGTCTTTGTAACTGTTAACATGAATTCGATAAAGATATACATGTGCATGACTAATCTTATTGATTTATAGTTATGCTTTGTCTGCGGAACCCTTGTGAATTTAGCAAAACCTGTGATTGTTTTGGTTTGCCCTCGACTTGTCCCTCAAATGTGCAATGACTCAATATATACAATTATTTGATACAGGTTAGTACAGGTTATAACGCAAGTCTGTAATCATAAATACTTATGTCTAGTACAGGTTTGAGTATCCCCAGAATTGATCAGAACTGAGTGTTTTGCCACTGATAATGTACTATAACAGCAGGCCAAACTGTTTCTATTTTTTATTCTAATTACTTTGTATCGAAATGCTTCCTCGTCTTGCTTATGTGCTTTTGTGTTTGGATAACCAATGCAGACAAGGGTTGTTCATATATGTGCAACAGAAACATCTAAATGGTATTGATCTTGCATTATGAACACAGTGAAAGATAATCCTGACAGAATTAAAACTAATTATGAATCATGTGGTGTATATTGAAGAAACATAACTTTTTTTCTTTTTTTCAAGATATTTTTGATTTAAATCAGTATATGATGTTACATAGTTATACATAGAGTAGCACGTCATGTGGTATACTTATTATGTTAGGTTACATACCTATACAGCAGACAGCAGATTTTAGTTGGCTACAGGTGGAAAAACATAACTTTGTGATTCTAAACCTTTTGGGAAATTTGGGTGCCAACATCAGCAAGTTAAATGATAAAAAAGTTGGGTGCTAATATGTCCACAGTGTCAATTGTTCTTGTTCAGTTTTGGAGGGAAGTGTCTAGGTGACAATTGGTCAATGGTGGGAGGCAAAGGCCAGGTGATAATAGTCTGTTGGTGTTGTCATGCTCCATCATATACAAGTCACTTTTGCAGGATTCAAAGCAGAAAAAATATGTACAAATACAATCTATGTGCAATACTACATAGAACTTTCTATGTCATATTATTGTTGCAAAATTAATAGATTTTTTTTCCACAGGGTGTTCACTTATTTGCTGCTCAGAACATTCATTGAATTGCATACCATCTCAAATACCTACTGCACGAACAGGGCGAGAGGCACCCACTCCTTATCACTGTTATGGTTTAAGTTTTTGTTCTAGTGAAAGGATTTACTGACAAGTAGTAAGTTGAATCGTGTTTCATGTTAAACCGCTCTAAACATGGTAATGGGGACCCGTCTAGCATACACTTTCTGCCTTTCCTGCTGTAGTGTTGGATATTGTCTCCCTGGAGTCAACTTGCAGATATTTTGTCTGGAGTTCGAAGTGTACTCAGCACATATCATGCACACAAATTGCTCTCCCTCTTTCAGTCCCAACATTGTGTCATCCAATCGAATAAGTTGAAAGTACAGGTTACTATGGTTACTTGTTAAAAATGTATCAGGGAGAATTCCATAAAGCCAGAGTTTGAAATTAACATAAGTCTGCTAGTTGGAGATTAATTAAATTCAGGAAGAACAAGTGACATTCCCTTGTGGGCAGTTACTTTTATCATTAAGTAGATGGTAGAAGTAGCAGATCATTGTTGTGGACTAGTGTGAATAAAAATCAATTTCTGACCCTGAAAGCTGCTGTCTAGCCAAATGAGCTTGAACAAAATTATTTTATCTTAAGCAGGGAATTTTGAAAGGAGCGTACTGCATAACGAGTTCTTGAACATGTTGAACTTGAAGATGTGGTGCAATTTTTGTTCTATTTTAGGGAAAGAAATTTAAGAAAGATTCATGAATTCATTTTACCGGTATTCGTTTCTCTTAACCAAACGTGAAGTAAGCATGGGAAGTTAAGCAGACTAGAAATGGTAATGAGGCAGTGGGGTAGCCTAGTGGTAAAGTGTGCCTCATCACGATGAAGACCCAGGTTCGATTCCCCACATGGGTACAATGTGTGTAGCCTATTTTTGGTGTCCCCGGCCATGATATTGCTGGAAAATTGCTAAAAGCAGCATAAGATCCAACTCACTCACTCACTCACTATAAATGGTATTAATTCTTACATTTTAAGTTGGATTTAACATGTTTAACATTTAGAACATGTTGAATGATCTCAGTAATTGTAACTGGTCTAGAAAACTAACTGTGCCAGGTATCATGTGTATGATAGCACATAGGTCAAATTTTGCCATGGTTATTAAGACATGTTATATGTGTTGCCGTTTCATAAAAAAATAATCTCAGTTCTAAGGTAAAGTGTCTGAAAATGTTTCTAATTCTAAAACATATTAACATGATAAACATTGGATAAAATTTACAATATTTACAAATTTCGACTTTATAATACCAATAAGTCAAATAACTATATAGTCAAATAACTCTATAACTGGCACATGTGTTAGTCCCATCACTGCATGTTAGGTTTGGTTTGTTTGTTATTTAATGCCGCACTCAGCAATATTCCAGCTGTATGACAGCGGTCTGTAAATAATCGAGTCTGGACCAGACAATCCAGTACTTGATGTCATGAGCATCGGTCAATGCAATTGGGATTGATGACTTGCATCAACCAAGTCAGCGAGCCTGACCACCCGAATCTGTTAGTCGCCTCTTACAACAAGCACAGTTGCCTTTTACAGTAAGCATGGGTTGCTGAAGACCTATTCTGACCTGGATCTTTAAGGGTCCACTGCATGTTAATTACCGTATTCGACGTAATAAGCGCCCCGCTCTAATAAGCGCCCACGGCATTATTTGCTAATATATTGGCAAGTGAACAATCCCAATTAGCATTCCTTCCGATTGATCAATGTTCACAAGACTTATTTATTTGTGTATAATACGCACTCATGTGTTATATGCACCCTTAATTATGGCCAATTAAATTCTGGAAAAATATATCTGTTATATATAAACAGTTCAGACCATCATAAACCACGAAATATTTCTAATTTTGAGAGCGCCCTGGGCGCTTATTACGTCGAATACGGTAGTATTAATACTTAAGCATGTGTTAAATACAAATACTCAAATACCTACCCTTTTACTCTTCACATTTGACTTAGAAACACTGCTGCTTGCCATATCCAGTTGCAGGAGAATTAGCACAGCTAGGATCTGGAGAGAGGTGGTCACCTGTACGATGGCCTGCTTGTTGGTGCTGAGAGACATGATCACTTCAGACAATCGGCTCAGCCTTTTATACGCCAGTGTCATCATTGATATCTCTTTCTTTGTTTTGATCTCATTTTCTAAACACCACAAAATATTGTTATGATAAATATAGATAAAAAATAATATCCAACATACTTCCTGAAAGATCCTGATTGAAGCAGGAACAAGCGATAAAATGTGGATAAATCTTTGTGGTAGCTATTGTATCAAAGAAGATACTGATTGAGGAAGTGCTTATAGAGTGACTGCACCTGAAAGTCCCGACATCAAGGGCAGGATGAATCGTGTGTAATGTTGACAATTTTCTGTATGCAGTAGTGGTTGGCAGGGTTAGGGTGTTGCTCAATAGTAAGTTGTCTACATTCTTTCAGTGACGGAGTAATGTTTATCACACTGTTGGTTTTTCATCCCATGTCAACAAAGGGGCATGGGTGGAGCAGTCGTCTAAGATGCTGCTAATCAGTTCGAATCTCTGTTCACTCTGATTATGTTTCTATGTTTGTCCGTACCATACCTGTGTTCGTGGGTTTTTCTCCGAAGTGGTAAACTTCAGAGACCTGCATCATTTCGGGTCGGGCTTTCCTCCCACATTAAGCTGACACACCGTGATATAACTGGAACACTGTTGAATGCGCCATGGAACCCAACTCACTCACTCACACATTCACTCACTCACTCACACATTCACTCACTCACTCACTCACTCACTCACTCACTCACTCACTCACACATTCACTCACTCACTCACTCACTCACATTCACACATTCACACATCCACTCACTCACTCACTCTCTCACCATGTCGACATTAAGAGCGTGTATATTTGTCATGGAAGTAAAGTGTGTGCAGCCGTAGCAATTCGCAGAGGACAGGTGGAAACTATATTTAGAGTTTGTAGTTCCTGCTTGAACAAGACAAAAACGTTTTCTATGTGTACATTTTCTATCAGGTTTTATTCAGTCCCAATTTGTAGCAAAATTGAAGCATGTTAAGAACTGGTTCAGAACCATAATCCTCAAATGCTTCTTTTCTTTGAGGACTAAAATCACTGAATATTTGTTCATCAGCAGAACTCAATAGTCTTGCACTAGTGGACTAGTGTTAATTTTGAAGGCTGTGTAAGCTATGAATATGATATTTGGTATGTTCAGCAATGATCACTTTTGACATTGTTTTACATTTTCTATCAGAGATATTGTTCTGTGGATGTAATATGTTAAAAGCATGATGATAATTTGTGTTCTCACATTCTGCATACTGTGTCAGTGTGTATAGAGTGATATTATTCGTACTCAAAGCTTTAATATCATACCAGTACTGGTGCTCCCCTATTGGGGAGATAAGTCTCATCTCGAACATAGATGCTGTCCGCTATGGGGAGATGCTACCATGATGATGTCTTGAAGTTATTTAGGATTCTCAACTTAGCACCCATTGCAAGCAAATTTTGGGTGACAAAGAATTGTTCCAAATTGGGATATTAGGATATTTAATTTTTTATTTTTTTTCCTAAGTTCAGATTTGGTTTGGTTTGGTTTGTTGTTTAACGCCGCACTCAGCAATTTTCCAGCTATATGACGGCAGTCTGTAAATAATCGAGTCTGGACCAGACAATCCAGTGATTATACAAATTACCTGTATAAAGCCATAACACCGGCCTTTGAGCAGGTCTAGACAAATCCTCTTGCTTGATAACAGTGTTAGAACCTACACCGATACGTCACTCCTAATTGTAATACAGAAGTTGTCATCCATAAATCTTATCCTTACTTAATACTCCAACTTCTTAATGCCTCTCAAAGAAGAAATCCCTGGATGTATGTAATTAACTATAACATTAACAAAAACTTATAGCATGGCTCCTTATTTCTTTACCGTGTTGACTGTGCATTAACTTACTGAATTGTTTGTTGAGCACCACTTAGCAATGACAGAACTTCTTTTTTCCCAATAAAATGACCTTGATGACAGAACAATTTCACAAGAAAAAACATGTGATGCCAGCGGCATCCAAACCCGCAAAATCTGCACCGAAGGCTAATAGATTTAGTCTTCTCACAGTTAAGCATACAGTCCTTTAATATCTTTCCAAATATTAGCGCTCAAAGCTTCTTTTTTTACAGTAATATTTTAAATATTTTAGGCACCAGATGTATTTAGGAGCCAACTTTTTTTCTCCAAAAAGCCAGACTGACTCATCAGTGACAGAGGTCATATGTTCACATGGGTTTCATTGTGTAAAGTGAGAGTTTGAGACAGGTCATGTGTTCACAGGGGTTTCATTGTGTAAAGTGAGAGTTTGAGACAGGTCATGTGTTCACAGGGGTTTCATTGTGTAAAGTGAGAGTTTGAGACAGGTCATGTGTTCACAGGGGTTTCATTGTGTAAAGTGAGAGTTTGAGACAGGTCATATGTTCACAGGGGTTTCATTGTGTAAAGTGAGAGTTTGAGACAGGTCATGTGTTCACAGGGGTTTCATTGTGTAAAGTGAGAGTTTGAGACAGGTCATATGTTCACAGGGGTTTCATTGTGTAAACTGAGAGTTTGAGACACGTCATTTGTTCACAGGGGTTTCATTGTGTAAACTGAGAGTTTGAGACAGGTCATGTGTTCACAGGGGTTTCATTGTGTAAAGTGAGAGTTTGAGACAGGTCATGTGTTCACAGGGGTTTCATTGTGTAAACTGAGAGTTTGAGAAGGGTCATGTGTTCACAGGGGTTTCATTGTGTAAAGTGAGAGTTTGAGACACGTGATATGTTCACAGGGGTTTCATTCTGGAAAGTGAGAGTTTGAGACACGTCATATGTTCACAAGTGTTTCATTGTGTAAACTGAGAGTTTGATATAGGTCACATGTTTGCAGTGGTTAGATCATATGTCGATTGTGTGAAGCTTTAAGATTGGCATTCAGTAGTACATTAACTAATAATGTAAATATCAACATTTTTTGCAATATCATATATTTAACAGTCGCAGACGTAACATGTACGCAAGATGTATCTGCCGTCTCTTGCACATGTTGTACACAAGAGGCGCGTGGAGCACAATACTCAGTGAAGTGTTTGACACTTATTAATTCAATCACCGTGGTTGTGATATCACCTTGAATCTCCGCAGTGCTACGTAAAATCAATGTTTAAGACCACCCAAAAAACATGTGGATCCAGTTACCATGGTTACAGCAGTATTTTTAAAAAAAGGCTAGGTGGGTAGGGATTCTTTTTTTCTGAAAAACAATTTAGATCTATAGTTCAAAGAGGACGATAAAGATTGTAAAACTGAATGCTTTGCCCTGTGTCATTCAGTACAAGTTGTATGAAGGGAATCAGTTGACAGTGATGGAGATACTCTCATCATGCTCATGGCTTGTTAGTAATCATGGTAATGAGTGATGATGAAATGAAGCGAACATGGTTAATGTGTGTGATGTATCAGTCGATTAGATCTGTCATGCTGATTCAGTAATTGGATATATTCATTCATCATGTTTAAGGAGAGATTCCCTCTTCATCCTCCAACATCATTCTTCCAATTGTTTCTGTTTGCAAACAGTTATAACTTTAGTGTTAAAATACAGCCAAACAGCTTCAGTGGCAGAGAGATTGGTGATGTCATTTGATTGTGACATCATGGTAACCGATGACGTCACACTGGACATGATAGACTGCAAAGCATTGTACTGCAGTTTCTTTGCAGTGATATCCCCAAGCTATAGCTCCTGTGGATGCCAGTTTTGGATGATTTAACAAGGTTAAAGATTATAATTATTATGATGCGTGTCATCATGTGACTTGGTTGTTTGTGTGTCATTGTACCCTGGCAGTGTGTGGAATGATGATTATGCTATCGACCCCTGGTTTGTCTGACCCAGATTTTATAATATTTACCATGTTTACATGATGTCACAACCTAGCTGGAATATTGCTGACTGTGTTAACATCATTCACTGACAGTTCTGTATTCATGGTATTGTCCTTGTGGGATTCTGGGTCAGAACTAGTGCTCCTGGTATTGCCCTGGGGATTCTGGATCAGAACTAGTCCTGGTATTGCGTTGTGTGGATTCTGGGTTAGGACAGGTCCTTGTGGTATTGCGTTGTGTGGATTCTGGGTCAGAACAGGTCATCATGGTATTGCATTGTGCGGATTCTGGGTCAGAACATGTCCTCCTGGTATTGCGTTGTGTGGATTCTGGGTCAGAACAGGTCCTCGTGGTATTGCGTTGTGTGGATTCTGGGTCAGAACAGGTCCTCCAGGTATTGTGTTGTGTGGATTCTGGGTCAGAACAGGTCCTCGTGGTGTTGCGTTGTGTGGATTCTGGGTCAGAACAGGTCTTCCTGGTATTGCGTTGTGTGGATTCTGGGTCAGGACAGGTCCTTCTTGTGTTGCGTTGTGTTGTGTGGATTCTGGGTCAGAACAGGTCCTCCTGGTATTGCGTTGTGTGGATTCTGGGTCTGGACAGGTCCTTGTGGTATTGCGTTGTGTGGATTCTGGGTCAGGACAGGTCCTCCTGGTATTGCGTTGTGTGGATTCTGGGTCAGAACAGGTCATCGTGGTATTGTGTTGTGTGGATTCTGGGTGAAAGGAGGTCATCGAGGTATTGCGTTGTGTGGATTCTGGGTCAGAACAGGTCCTCGTGGTATTGCGTTGTGTGGATTCTGGGTCAGAACAGGTCCTCATGGCATTGCGTTGTGTGGATTCTGGGTCAGAACAGGTCCTTGTGGTTTTGCGTTGTGTGGATTCTGGGTCAGGACAGGTCCTTGTGGTTTTGCGTTGTGTGGATTCTGGGTCAGGACAGGTCCTTGTGGTTTTGCGTTGTGTGGATTCTGGGTCAGGACAGGTCCTTGTGGTATTGCGTAGTGTGGAATATGGGTCAGAACAGGTCTTCGTGGCATTGCGTTGTGTGGATTCTGGGTCAGAACTGGTCTCAACATATGAGGCATATGCTAAACATGCTAAATGGTTTGGATTGTCAGGTTCTCTAAACTGTTGAGTGTTAGTCATCATACCTCAACATCATGGAACGTGCTTGCAATGTAATCACTGCTTTGTTGGGTCTCGGCTTCAGCATCACTAGTATGCTTGGTATGAAGCTGTTATATACCTGGAATATTTCTAAGTACGGCTTCAAACATTGAACACCAAACCGATAAATACGCATCTGTAGGCACTTCTCTAAAGCCCAAGTCAAGTTAAATTCTCCTCAGTCGAGTAAGCTTAGCTTATAATCCACATAATAACACTAAATTTCTATTGATAATTATGACAAGATCCATGTTCAGGCTAGTAGTCTCTAAATGTTTTGACACAGACTGCAAACAATACTGTTTTGTGTATTCCGATGATTTAGGTGACTCTGCTTTGTTTCCCCAGGTGTATGTAAGCTGGCAAGATGAGTGACAGCGAGGACAGGAAGTGGTCGTGTGAGTACTGTACATACGAGAACTACCCTGCTACAAAACGATGCACGTTGTGTCGGGGGCCGCGGCCGGTGCAGCTCATCACCAACTCCCCCAGCCAGGAGCAGGACATCTACAAGATGGCGCCCCTAGTGACACCACTGAGCAGCGAATCAAATCATGCCACAACCAGCAGCAGTAGCGAACTCAACAAGTGGGCATGTCACATGTGTACTTATCTCAACTGGCAGCGGGCGACAAAATGTACTCAGTGCCTCACCCCACGGAAAAAACTCTCCCCTAGTCGATCTCAACCCACCTCTCACCACCAGCAGCAGCAGCAGCATGAGAAGATGCAGCCCCTTAGTGTCAATGTCAATATAGCTGAGAGCTCCGCCCCGCCCATCTCAGGTCGAACCACCCCCAAACGCAACTCCCCCAATTCTCCGGAGGCAGCTAAAGCAATAAACAATGATATCAACAAGGCAGTAGCAGCACATGGCCATCGCAGTGGGACCAAGTGGATATGTCGAGCCTGCACCTATGAGAACTGGCCTAAAGGCATCAAGTGTATTTTATGTGGCACTGCGAAGGGTAGGACCTTTTCTGACACGAACCTTGCCTCGGGGGGAAGCTATGGGCTTATTTGTGAGCAGGAGGGAGGGAACCGGCGCGGGCGGGCCTCACCAGGAATGTCGCAGAGTCTTGACAATATCGAGAATTACCAAGATGGAGCATCAGCTTCAGCATCTAGTTTCGAAGACAAGAACCGTGTAGAAGAGCGGAGGTTACGTCTGTTAAGGAAAAGGTTACGTGATAAAGATTGGCTGTGGTTGAGCGCTTGTAGCGGTGTTGTGGACGGGGACTCTAATGCTGTCGAAGCGTTCATTGCATCGGGTGGTGACCCAGCTCGGCAGCTCACACAAGATGAAGTTACTCTCTTAAATCGACCCAGTGCGTTTGAGGTGGGATACACCCTAGTTCACCTGGGCATAAGATTCAAAAGGGAAGATATGTTGGCGGTTTTGCTGACCGCGACAGACGTGGCTGCCAAGGCGGTCAAGCGTTTACCTGCCCACACCAGTCCGGACCTGGCCACTGACATCCGGAGAGAAATCGCATCATCATTACGACAAAGGAAGGGGGACTTCCCTTGCTTTTTCTTCACAGACTGTGTCACCTTCGCTCTTCCAACAGGTGTGTGGTGATTTATGCACAGGAAATATTGAAACCAAATTATTCTGCTTTGTACATCTTGTGTCAAACATGGTCCAGTGTCATGAATATGTTGAGTTTCCACTTTCTCAAATTTCTTATGTCATTTTTGTGGACGTATATATTTTATTTTTCAATATTTTCGTAAATTTACAGTGTTAATCATAAAACTGATTTAACTGGTTATTTGCGGGGAGAATGCACAGAAGAGTAATCCCAACATGCAAACTTTTCTGTTCTCATTTGTGATGGATCATAAATGGATCATTGAATGCTTTTTTAAACAAATCATCAGTCTTAAATTTTTTACCAATTCTCACAGCAGCGAGTTACATCACACATTTCATGAACGTATTTTGAGTTAACGTCTGAAGGTACCAGCGCCAGTGGGGTAGCCTTGTGGTTAAAGTGTTCGCTTGTCATGCCAAAGGCCAGGGTTTGATTCCCACATGGGTGTGGTTCTTGAAGCCCATGTCTGGTGTCCACCTCTGTGATGTTTCTGGAATGTTGCTAAAAGTGGTTTAATGCCTTGCTCACACACTCGCACACTCACTGAAGATAGATCCCATGTGAGGCATACTTACAATCACTCACCAGTATCATCAACTACCTTGTTATTTCTGTGTTTCAGATATCGAGGATCTGCCTCGCCACATCCAGGGTCAGCTGTTTGATGAGTTGCTGGACAGAGACGTACAGAGTGGTGGGTGTCCTTGGATAACCATTAGGCCTTACATTATACTATGTCTGTTGACTACAAGGTGTGAAACACATTTCTGGTGTCCCCTGTCGTGATATTGCTGGAATAATGCTGAAAGCGGCGTAAAACCACACACACACACCCGCTCTCGCTCCCGCTCACTCACTCACTCACTCACTCACTCACTCACTCACTCACTCACTCACTCACTCACTCACTCACTCACTCACTCACTCACTCACTCACTCACTCACTCACTCACTCACTCACTCGACCTAAATATCTGTTGTTGTAAACTTGATAAAAGAAACTATCCTCAGCTTTATGTACTGTAAATCTGGAAATTAATGTGTCTTCAAATTAATACGAATGCTGACCCCTAGCCAAAAATGCGACTCAATATCAATGCGTCTCCCCCACCCCATCCCCAGTGGAATGAAAGATATATCCTTACCTTATTGCTGCTCAATAAACTATGTTTGTGTCTATATTCAAGTTGGTATTTCCGCTATCCAAAGTGTGCAGTGAGGCCGTCTAATTGTTGGATGGTCATTTGGAGACATCAATGTGAAGTTAATTAATGCAAGCAAAGACCACTCGCATGTTTAATTCACGCATGCATTAAGTTCAAGATTTACAGTATTTGTTGAATTTGTCCCTTAAAGAAAAATTTCGATATAAGCATGGTCAGCATTTTTAGTTACTTGTGTTAACAATTGAGTATTAAAGGTTTTCATTGGGTATTCAATGTATGTTTTGTACTCCCTTTGGGTCCCGTCTATTGGGTGTTTTCAAAACAACAAGTCGACCATTTTTAAGATAATTCTGTTTTAAATACGTGTCAAGTGACTTTTATAATTTGCATCTGTTCACGTACAGCCCCAGGTCACATAGGCTCAATGATACACATGTCAATGTTACAATAATCTTTGTTCACTGCAGTATAAGTCATGTCTATGTGAGGCTGCATTCAGTCAGTAGATAGAGTTCTGTAAAGACATACGGGTATGCTAACTGAAAAATCTACATTGGGTAATTACTCACAGTGTTATACTGTTGCGTGTTTTGGAATTGTCCATGTGTATTTGTACACAAGCATGTTTATTAGGTAATTGTGATTTTTTGGCATAGCCAGTCTGGAGTTGTGCTTTGTCTTGATCTCCTTCGTGTGTACCTGCAGAACTGGAGGAGGAGAGCATTGTCAACTGGAACGTGGAGCTGACGGACCGGCTAGGGAGTCGGCTGTACTCTCTGTGGAACCGGACGGCGGGGGACTGTCTCCTTGACTCTCTACTGCAGGCTACGTGGGGGGTGTTCGACATAGACAACACGCTCCGCCGCGCACTCGCAGACAGCCTAAGTGAAGGGGCCATGACGTGAGTGGCATGACGAGTGGGGCCCACCTCAATCATAGTTTAACAGAAGGTCAATCATGTTAATCAGAATTTATTTGGAAGATGTAATGCTGAAAACTATTCTATGTAAGGTTTCAGTGAGTGAGTTGGGTTTAATGCCGCTTTTAACAGTATTCCAGTTATATCACGGCATGTCAGCTTAATGTGGGAGGAAAGCCCGAAGTGATGCAGGTCTCTGACGTTTACCACTTTGGTGAAACCCACGAGTACGGGTAAGGTGCTGACAAACCTAGAGACATAATTGGGGCGAACTGGGATTCGGACCCACAATCATAGGTTTCTGGGGCGCCCAAGGGACGCAACTCTGCACAGCGAATCGCGTCGCCTTAGACAGCTGGGCCACCTGTGCCTCCCATAACGTTACAGAATCCCGTCATGACGATAGTGAAGTACAACCCCCTGCGATGACGATAGTGAAGTACAACCCCCTGTCATGACAATAGTGAAGTACAACCCCCTGTCATGACGATAGTAAAGTACAATCCCCTGTCATGACAATAGTGAAGTACAATCCCCTGTCATGGCAGTAGTGAACTACAACCCCCTGTCATGGCAGTAGTGAAGTACAATCCCCTGTCATGACAATAGTGAAGTACAATCCCCTGTCATGGCAGTAGTGAAGTACAACCCCCTGTCATGACAATAGTGAAGTACAACCCTCCATCATGACAATAGTGAAGTACAATCCTGTCATGACAATAGTGAAGTACAATCCTCCATCATGACAATAGTGAAGTACAATCCTCCATCATGAGAATAGTGAAGTACAATCTTCCACCATGACAATAGTGAAGTACAATCCTCCATCATGACAATAGTGAAGTACAATCCTCCATCATGACAATAGTGAAGTACAATCCTCCATCATGACAATAGTGAAGTACAATCCTCCATCATGACAATAGTGAAGTACAATCCTCCATCATGACAATAGTGAAACCACTATCTGAACACCACAAAGTTGAAACCAAAGTGGAGTTGTGCAACCAATGTCATGTTTAAAACTGTTCGCTGAGTGTATGTTATGACTATTTTGCTGACTTATGAGATGTAGCACTGTTGTGCTGACTATTCTGCGATGTGGGATTCCTGTTATGTTTGGGGTGCTATTTTGCTGACTGGATGTTATGGGGTCCTATTTTGCAGGTTCTACCCTCGCTGGAAGGAATATGAATCAATGCAGGCGCGATCTCTTCACTTCAGCCTGGATGAGAGTCAGTGTCAGAGGGACTGGGCCCTGCTCCTCAGCCTCGCAAGTCAACCAGGTAACACACCTCTCACATGTATCCAGGTAACACATCTCCCACATGTTTCCAGGTAACACACCTCTCACATGTATCCAGGTAACACATCTCCCACATGTATCCAGGTAACACACCTCCCACATGTATCCAGGTAACACACCTCCTACATGTATCCAGGTAACACACCTCCCACATCTATCCAGGTAACACATCTCCCACATGTATCCAGGTAACACATCTCTCGCGTGTGTCCAGGTAACACACCTCCCACATGTATCCAGGTAACACACCTCTCACATGTATCCGGGTAACACATCTCCCACATGTATCCAGGTAACACACCCCTCACATCTATCCAGGTAACACATCTCCCTCATGTATCCAGGTAACACATCTCTCGCGTGTGTCCAGGTAACACACCTCCCACATGTATCCAGGTAACACACCTCCCACATGTATCCAGGTAACACATCTCTCACATGTATCCAGGTAACACACCTCTCACATCTATCCAGGTAACACACCTCTCACATGTATCCAGGTAACACACCTCTCACATGTATCCAGGTACCACATCTCCCACATCTATCCAGGTACCACACCTCTCACATCTATCCAGGTAACACATCTCCCACATCTATCCAGGTACCACACCTCCCACATGTATCCAGGTAACACACCTCTCACATGTATCCAGGTAACACACCTCTCACATGTATCCAGGTACCACATCTCCCACATCTATCCAGGTAACACACCTCTCACATCTATCCAGGTAACACATCTCCCACATCTATCCAGGTACCACACCTCCCACATGTATCCAGGTAACACACCTCTCACATGTATCCAGGTAACACACCTCTCACATGTATCCAGGTAACACATCTCCCACATGTATCCAGGTAACACACCTCTCACATGTATCCAGGTAACACATCACTCACATGTATCCAGGTAACACATTTCCCACATCTATCCAGGTAACACACCTCCCACATCTATCCAGGTAACACACCTCCCACATGTATCCAGGTAACACACCTCCCACATGTATCCAGGTAACACACCTCTCACATGTATCCAGGTAACACACCTCTCACATGTATCCAGGTAACACATCTCCCACATCTATCCAGGTAACACACCTCTCACATGTATCCAGGTAACACATCACTCACATGTATCCAGGTAACACATTTCCCACATCTATCCAGGTAACACACCTCTCACATGTATCCAGGTACCACACCTCCCACATGTATCCAGGTAACACACCTCTCACATCTATCCAGGTAACACACCTCTCACATGTATCCAGGTACCACACCTCCTACATGTATCCAGGTAACACACCTCTCACATCTATCCAGGTAACACACCTCTCACATCTATCCAGGTAACACACCTCTCACATGTATCCAGGTAACACACCTCTCACATCTATCTAGGTAACACACCTCTCACATATATCCAGGTAACACACCTCTCACATCTATCCAGGTAACACACCTCTCACATGTATCCAGGTAACACACCTCTCATATGTATCCAGGTAACACATCTCCCACATCTATCCAGGTAACACACCTCTCACATGTATCCAGGTAACACATTTCCCACATGTATCCAGGTAACACACCTCCCACATGTATCCAGGTAACACACCTCCCACATGTATCCAGGTAACACACCTCTCACATGTATCCAGGTAACACACCTCCCACATGTATCCAGGTAACACACCTCCCACATGTATCCAGGTAACACACCTCTCACATCTATCCAGGTAACACACCTCTCACATCTATCCAGGTAACACACCTCCCACATCTATCCAGGTAACACACCTCTCACATGTATCCAGGTAACACATCACTCACATTTATCCAGGTAACACATTTCCCACATCTATCCAGGTAACACACCTCTCACATGTATCCAGGTAACACATCACTCACATTTATCCAGGTAACACATTTCCCACATCTATCCAGGTAACACACCTCCAACATGTATCCAGGTAACACACCTCTCACATGTATCCAGGTAACACCACCTCCCACATGTATCCAGGTAACACACCTCTCACATGTATCCAGGTAACACATCACTCACATTTATCCAGGTAACACATTTCCCACATCTATCCAGGTAACACACCTCTCACATGTATCCAGGTACCACACCTCCCACATGTATCCAGGTAACACACCTCTCACATCTATCCAGGTAACACACCTCTCACATGTATCCAGGTACCACACCTCCTACATGTATCCAGGTAACACACCTCTCACATCTATCCAGGTAACACACCTCTCACATCTATCCAGGTAACACACCTCTCACATGTATCCAGGTAACACACCTCTCACATCTATCTAGGTAACACACCTCTCACATATATCCAGGTAACACACCTCTCACATCTATCCAGGTAACACACCTCTCACATGTATCCAGGTAACACACCTCTCATATGTATCCAGGTAACACATCTCCCACATCTATCCAGGTAACACACCTCTCACATGTATCCAGGTAACACATTTCCCACATGTATCCAGGTAACACACCTCCCACATGTATCCAGGTAACACACCTCCCACATGTATCCAGGTAACACACCTCTCACATGTATCCAGGTAACACACCTCCCACATGTATCCAGGTAACACACCTCCCACATGTATCCAGGTAACACACCTCTCACATCTATCCAGGTAACACACCTCTCACATCTATCCAGGTAACACACCTCCCACATCTATCCAGGTAACACACCTCTCACATGTATCCAGGTAACACATCACTCACATTTATCCAGGTAACACATTTCCCACATCTATCCAGGTAACACACCTCTCACATGTATCCAGGTAACACATCACTCACATTTATCCAGGTAACACATTTCCCACATCTATCCAGGTAACACACCTCCAACATGTATCCAGGTAACACACCTCTCACATGTATCCAGGTAACACCACCTCCCACATGTATCCAGGTAACACACCTCTCACATGTATCCAGGTAACACATCACTCACATTTATCCAGGTAACACATTTCCCACATCTATCCAGGTAACACACCTCTCACATCTATCCAGGTAACACACCTCCCACATCTATCCAGGTAACACATCTCCCACATGTATCCAGGTAACACACCTCACACATCTATCCAGGTAACACATCTCTCACATCTATCCAGGTAACACATCTCTCACATCTATCCAGGTAACACACCTCTCACATCTATCCAGGTAACACACCTCTCACATCTATCCAGGTAACACACCTCCCACATCTATCGAGGTAACACACCTCCCACATCTATCCAGGTAACACACCTCCCACATCTATCCAGGTAACACACCTCCCACATCTATCCAGGTAACAAACCTCTCACATCTATCCAGGTAACACACCTCTCACATCTATCCAGGTAACACACCTCCCACATCTATCCAGGTAACACACCTCCTACATGTATCCAGGTAACACACCTCCCACATCTATCCAGGTAACACACCTCCCACATGTGTCCAGGTAACACATCTCCCACATGTATCCAGGTAACACACCTCCCACATGTATCCAGGTAACACACCTCTCACATGTATCCAGGTAACACATCTCCCACATCTATCCAGGTAACACACCTCTCACATGTATCCAGGTAACACATTTCCCACATCTATCCAGGTAACACACCTCCCACATGTATCCAGGTAACACACCTCCCACATGTATCCAGGTAACACACCTCTCACATGTATCCAGGTAACACATCTCCCACATGTATCCAGGTAACACACCTCTCACATGTATCCAGGTAACACATCACTCACATTTATCCAGGTAACACACCTCCCACATGTATCCAGGTAACACACCTCTCACATGTATCCAGGTAACACATCTCCCACATGTATCCAGGTAACACACCTCTCACATGTATCCAGGTAACACATCACTCACATTTATCCAGGTAACACATTTCCCACATCTATCCAGGTAACACACCTCTCACATCTATCCAGGTAACACACCTCCCACATCTATCCAGGTAACACATCTCCCACATGTATCCAGGTAACACACCTCTCACATCTATCCAGGTAACACATCTCTCACATCTATCCAGGTAACACATCTCTCACATCTATCCAGGTAACACACCTCTCACATCTATCCAGGTAACACACCTCTCACATCTATCCAGGTAACACACCTCCCACATCTATCCAGGTAACACACCTCCCACATCTATCCAGGTAACACACCTGTCACATCTATCCAGGTATCACACCTCTCACATCTATCCAGGTAACACACCTCCCACATCTATCCAGGTAACACACCTCCCACATATATCCAGGTAACACACCTCTCACATCTATCCAGGTAACACACCTCTCACATCTATCCAGGTAACACACCTCCGTAATCTATCCAGGTAACACACCTCCTACATGTATCCAGGTAACACACCTCCCACATCTATCCAGGTAACACACCTCCCACATGTGTCCAGGTAACACATCTCCCACATGTATCCAGGTAACACACCTCCCACATCTATCCAGGTAACACATCTCCCACATGTATCCAGGTAACACACCTCCCACATGTATCCAGGTAACACATATCTCACATCTATCCAGGTAACACACCTCCCACATGTATCCAGGTAACAAACCTCCCACATCTATCCAGGTAACACATCTCTCACATGTATCCCGGTAACACACCTCTCACATGTATCCAGGTAACACATCTCCCACATCTATCCAGGTAACACACCTCCCACATGTATCCAGGTAACACACCTCTCACATCTATCCAGGTAACACACCTCCCACATCTATCCAGGTAACACGCCTCTCATTGAAGAGCTTCAGATTATGTCTGTAATGTTTGTTTCAGGGGCATCACTTGAGCAGACCCATATATTCGCACTGGCTCACATCTTGCGACGACCAATTATTGTGTACGGAGTCAAGTATGTGAAGAGTTTCCGAGGGGAGACAATTGGCTTTGCCAAGTTCCAGGGTGAGTCTTGGCTTTCAGCTTCCAGCAGCCATGGCAACTGCATCAGCTGCAACCCATGGTATTTTGAAACAGAGATCAAATCAGACTCCCCTGACAGTTTTCCGAACAATTATCTTAGCAGCTGCTGTAAAGGCAGACGGAAACCAGTGTTAATCACAATTCTACCATTAATTTGGAAATACTATATTGTGATCAGTCAATCAGAGGTTTCAAGTCATAATAACCACCCTTTGTGGCAACAGAAAATTTGACCACTGATCACCGCTGAAGGTGCTGCATAAGGTTTTCGTCTCAGTGAGATGTAATGATTATGATGTGCAGTTTAGAACTAAACCTTGCAAGGCTTTGTTGTCCACTTCAAGTTGGCCTATACAGTAGCAGTGCTACACACTTTCAGTGCCTAGCATATGTGCAAGTAGAGTATTATGATATGAAAATATGTTGAGCATATGTAGCCTGTATGCAGGACTTTTAAAGGCTTATATTGATCTTTCATCAATTCAGATCAAAAACCCACTCAGAAAACTGAACTCATCCAATGCCATCATTTTCCAGGAGTGTACCTTCCGTTGCTATGGGAACGTAGTTTCTGTTGGAAGATTCCTATGGTTCTGGGCTACACAAGGGGTCATTTCTCTGCTCTCGTCCCCATGGAGATGGATACAGATGACAGCATCGGTGCAGGGGCTAACATCGAGAGTAACGATGACGGCCAGGTGGCTTACCTCCCCTTGGTAGACAATGAGGGCAAGTTGCTTCCTGTCCATTTCCTCACAGGCTCCGAGGTAAGAAGGCGATAATGATGTGATATCATGTTACAGGGACAGTTTCCCTGATGTTACAATGACACTGTTTCCATGATGTTACAATGACACTGTTTCTCTGATGTTACAATGACACTGTTTCTCTGATGTTACAATGACACTGTTTCCCTGATGTTACAATGACACTGTTTCTCTGATGTTACAATGACACTGTTTCTCTGATGTTACAATGACACTGTTTCTCTGATGTTACAATGACACTGTTTCCCTGATGTTACAATGACACTGTTTCTCTGATGTTACAATGACACTGTTTCTCTGATGTTACAATGACACTGTTTCCCTGATGTTACAATGACACTGTTTCCATGATGTTACAACACTTTCCGTGATGTTACGACACTGTTTCCATGATGTTACGGTGAAAGTTTCCGTTCCGTGATGTTACGACACTGTTTCCACAATGTTACAATGACACTGTTTCCAGGATGTTACAGTGATAGTTTCCATGATGTTACACCTTTCCATGATGTTACAACACTGTTTTTATGATGTTACAATGACACTGTTTCCATGATGTTACAATGACACTGTTTCCATGATGTTACAATGACACTGTTTCTGTGGTCTTATGACACTGTTTCTGTGATGTTACAATGACACTGTTTCTGTGGTCTTATGACACTGTTTCTGTGATATTGTAATGACACCATAATTCTACAAAGAATAATAAATAACGTTACAAAGACATTGCTTCCTTGATGTTAGAAAGACACTTCCATGATTTTACAACGAAACTGTTTCATGATGTTGCAGGTCGGGCGTGAGGACACCATCCTGCGGGAGTGGCTGGACTGTGTGGTGACGAAGGGCGGCATCTTGGTGGCGGCCCAGAAGCTGGGGAAGCGGCCGGCGCTGGTGAAGCAGATGGTGGAGGAGTGGTTGGATCACTACCGCCAGCTGTCCCATGGCATCCCTCCCACCCACCAGACCAGCCTGTCCTCACAGACCTTCTCCAGCGATGGAGAGAGCGACCAGGAGTGACACCCCACCCTATGGGACTAACATCACTCTTCTCATTGGGTAGAAATCACACATGCGCCCAAATGATTGTTCAGGAACCAAACATGCTCTCTATTGATTGGCCAGAAGCCGAACATGCTGTGATTGGTTAGAAAGCAAACATGCTCTCTATTGATTGGTCAGAAGCCAAGCATGTTTTGATTGGTCAGAAACCAAACATGCCCTTAATGATACCAGACGCAACCGATGCTTGTTTCTGATTGGACAAGATGTTGAATAATGCAGCTGTTGAGGAGACAAGAGAAATCCAACTGTGACATGCATTGAGCGGTCACATCGTGACAGTCTGTTCTCACAAGATTTCATGAAAAGGTCCAGGCATGTCTTCATGAGTGTTCTTGTTATTGACAAGTTCAGATTTCACCTTTACTGTTTGTCTTAATAGACTGAGATCAAATGTCAATATCCTATTCTACTTGGTTTGAAAGTTCCGTAGTATATTGCAAGTATAAAAAAAAAGTTTGGGGGTCCTGAATTTGGAGGCTGTCTCCCTGATACACCATATGCGAGGCGTCATGTGTTGGCAAGGAATGGTGGCACATGAACCTCAATCTCAGGAGAGCAGAATCCTGACACTAATTCAAATATTGAAATGAAAAGAATGTCTCTTGGAGCTAGATGGGATCGGGGAAAGTCGTTCGTTCTTATGTCTTGTTAAGGCTCTTAGTTGAAAGTAAATTGTTGTTGCATTGGCGGCTGTTACTGATTAGCCCCAGTATTTTCCCGTCTTTATTCCTGGGCGGGCTGTGTATGTTGCAAAATGACTGTGTTCACATGATATGATTACGTCAGGTTAAAACTGGTATATATGAGAATTAATTAATGACTTTGTTATCGCAAATATTAGGTTTGCTTAAGCATGTTATGGTGAATACTTTATCAAGGCTAAATGAATTTGTTTGATTACCTGAGTATTATTGAACCCAGTACCTGAGGAGCCTGTTTGATTTGTCCTGATCCAACTAGGCTCGTTTTACCTTAATGTCTCTGTGATATTTACCACGTGTTTACATATATCTATATTTTCAATCAAAATACCTTGTTGATGTCGCTCGGATTAAGAGATAATTATTTTAGACTTGCACTGGAAGTAACATTTGCACGATCCGTGTTTTGATGTTGACTTACATATGTTGAAATTCTTATGTTAGATATCCCTAAAGCTGGCCTTAGGTGAATTACCTCAGCCCTGAACCTGGGTATGTATCAGGATACAGTGTGATCTGGAGGAGGTGAGCTACAACCATCACTAAATACCTCATGACTTGCAGTGGGGTACAGATACCTGCCAGATTGGTGGTAACTTTATTGTAAGTTCAAATTCATTCTCCCAAATTGTATGTGATGGAAATGAGTGGCCGTCATTAGACTCCCTGTGTTTCGGGGAACATTACCTACTGATATGAAGAAGGGAACGTCGGGTGGGATTTGTTTGTCATCCAGATCATTAAGTGATTATGTGCACACTCGCATACAAATATTCTCACATTGACACGCATACACAGAAACTCTCGCTCGTTCACACGCTCACACACACGCTCACACACACACACACACACACACACACACACACACACACACACACACACACACACACACACACACACACACACACACACACACACACACACACACACACACAGGAACTCCTACACACACGAACACACACGCGCACACACACACACACACACACACAGAGAGGAACTCCTACACACACACACACACAGAGAGGAACTCATGCACACGCACAGGCACACACACACACACACACACACACACACACACAGGAACTCATGCACACACACACACACACACACACACAGAGGAACACAGAAACACATTATGCTATAACCAATGCAGACATACCCTCAGATACACACTTACACTCACATACATTTCAAAGATTTAAAAACAGAGCCGTTTTGCAGGGTAAGGTGATTTGCCCGAAACAAAGGGTCTTTTTTAATTGTGGCCTCAATATTTGTAAGTTTAAAAAATGCGAATATGTGACATCCAGGCCCTCCAGAGTGGAGGTCCTGTGACAGTCTCTATATCCTTGTTGACCCGCGTTATGTTTGTTGTTAGTGTAAAGATGTACTATAGATGTTAATATTTATGTAGATATATAATATATGTGTATAATCCACAACAATATAGCTGACCCCTGTATGGTCGCTCAGTGTTTGTGTAAATCAGCAGATAGTGATGGGAGAATGGTGGAAAGAATGGCTACAGAATGCATGACATATATGGTGTAGTCTGACATGTGCTTAGTAATTCCGAAACAGAATTAAAGCTTCCTGACCTTATGGAACCAAACCCATGTCCATATTCAGTGGGCAATTCAAGCATTCAGTCATAGGGACTTACTGTATCCTGGGACCTGTAGGCAATCCTGGTGGACACAGTAGTCATACAAGCTCCTTCCCAGCGCGTGACATCTTCGTTAATCTCTCGGTAACATCGCTGCCACCAGTGTGGGCGTGGCCATTACAAGAATCTTGAAATTTGCCCTCTAACCCCATATGTAGTAACGTTAATGTTTTTGTTTATGTCTTTGGGAATGCCATCATATTTCATTTTGAAAAGGTTTACGACTGACCATGTTTTCCAGATGAATTTACTTTGTTGTTTTAATAATCAGATTGGTTCGAGATTGCAGACTAATGGAAAATCAACCAACTTCTCCCTTACATTCTTACTATATCAATTAAAGGGAATAGTTTTAATGAAATAGAAATTCAAATTGACAAACAAAGAAAGTAATTTATCAGCGGTAAGTGTATTCGGCGTCACGACAGTCGTCACTTGTTGGTAAAAATAATGGTCATTCGGTTGCAAGTTCAACTCCAAGCATGGTTGGGGCCACCTATCACAGTGGGGAGTTTTGACAGGTGGCTGCGATAGAGAGCTCCGCGAACGGACTGCCACTGTCAGGAGCTTGAGTAGTCATAGTGTGGATAGGGGAGATAACTCTCAGCTAAAGATGTGGTTGAGGTTGTGAGTGATTGCAACCAAATAATGTCTACTGGCATCAATCTCATCTCCTTCAGAGGAAAATTTGGACAAAACAACGACATCTGCATCTGAAAGATACTGGTTTTGTTAGTATTGTAACAGTTGAGCTTGTTACCAGCGCCTTGAAGCTACTACTGGGTTTCTCCACCTCAGTGTGTCTGTGCTCCATGACGGGGGAGAATGTTGGTCCATCTGCACGGGGGCCTAGTCATCTGTTGTGCTCTGCCAGTCTATAAAGCAGCCCTTGCACTCACTGGAAACAGAACACCTCTGTGGTCTCAATGGATATAGCATCGTGATGGAGAGTGGAAGGTCGGTTGCTCAATCTCTGGCCGTGTCATACCATTAGACGTTAAAAGATGGGACTTCTTGTTACCCTGCCTGGCGCTTAGCAAGTGCATAAAACAAGGACTGGTTGGAGGGAAGTTAGTATTGTGTGTCTGAATGTTAAACTGCAACATGGTATCTCAGTTGGCTAGCACAATAAAACCAGCATGAGTCTGGACTATTACAAGCAGCCACACACATGCGTGCATGTCGCAATATAAGTGCAGTATTCTGGAAGGCGACGTTCAATCCCATTTTACCTCACCTCATTGGAAACACATCCCATAACAATGAGTATAAAAATATAAATGTGATTTCAGTTGTTATAAAGATGGCTTAGTCAAAGCTGCTGCGATGTACTGTGCGGAGTTGCCTCCCTTAGCCATGCCAGGATCTGATGATCAATGTTTTGAATTCTCACCCGAGGCATAGGTTTGCACTATACCTGTGCTCACTGGTTTCACCGAACTGGAACCATCCCAAACCTGCATCACCTAAGGCACAGAAAACTGACATAAAGTGATGCAACTGAAAAACTGTTCTAAGCATTGTTAAACAAAGCTCACTCTCTGGCCTGAAGAAGTCTGATCTCGGAACCAGCAACTGTCCTTATATTGAGGCACTGTCTGTCCTTGTGTTGAGGCAATGTCTGGTTGCAAGATCGATGAATGTGTTAATTTGTACTTAACAGGGGCGAGGCTAAAAGAGAGGACTTGGTGTGTTAGAGTTAACTATACTTTCACCAATTTTCAACGTAAACCAATACAAAATACAAACAAAAAACCCTCCTGACACGCCTTACCTGACCAGTTAGTTTTGAGAAAAGGCATGGGAAATAAGAAAATATTTTTTAAAGTCCTAAAGTAAATACTATGTATGGATATGAGAATAGATATGTCATCTACCTCTGGGTAGAATACAGTAGCTTAGTCTTCAATCTTGCAATATGTTTGCAATTCCTGCTATAGTAACATCTCAAGGCATTAACTAGTGTAGATGTTTTGTCTTCCCGTTGTAGTGGTGTTCTCAGGGTTGTGTTGGGCATAGGTAGGAATCAGCTCTTCCACCAGTACTGGATAATATATCAGTTTGCATCCCGCCACCAGGTGGCATGCTGATGGGGCTTAGAACACTGAAGCTGGAGCCTTGTGCTAACCTGTCATTATTACACTGTCACATTAAATTGGGATAATTGTTGCATTATGGGCTGTTCTCAACTTCCTGACACAGGCATGAATTTTATCATCTAAGATGCTGTGATTCTCTGTGCAGAGTCGTGCCCCTTATTAGTGCCAGGATCTGTTTCCATGGGTTAAAAGAATTTGCTCCTTAGTTTGTCAGCAAACATTTGCCCGTTTTTTATCACCAAATTGTTGAATGTCTGATCTGCGTCAGTTTGGACTGATGTACCTTCTTAATACTGTCCAAGCTGTTTTGATCCCAACTTATTCACTCAACTCCCAGAAGCTGCCACAGCTTTTAAAGTACTCTCTGTGGGAAGAGGCAAGAATGTTGCAGTGTTGTCTGAAGGAAAGGATACTTTCAAGCCTATTACAGTGTTCTCTGAAGGAATTGGCACCTGTAAGACCGTTGCAGTGTTCTCTGAAAGAAAGGGCAGCTGTAAGACCGTTGCAGTGTTCTCTGAAGGAATTGGCACCTGTAAGACCGTTGCAGTGTTCTCTGAAAGAAAGGGCACCTGTAAGACTGTTGCAGTGTTCTCTGAAAGAAGGGGCACCTGTAAGACTGTTGCAGTATTCTCTGAATATGGGGGAACCTGTAAGATTGTTGCAGTGTTTGCAGAAGGAAGGGGCTCTTGCAAGATTGTTACAGTATTCTCTGAAGGAAGGGCACGTGTGAGATTGTTACAGTATTCTATGAAGGAAGAGGCACCTGTAAGACTGTTGCAGTGTTCTCTGAAGGAAGGGGCACCTGTAAGACTGTTGCAATGTTCTCTAAAGGAAGGGGCACCTGCAAAATTCTTACAGTATTCTCTGAAGGAAGGGGCACCTGTAAGACTGTTGCAATGTTCTATGAAGGAAGAGGCACCTGTAAGACCGTTGCAGTGTTCTCTGAAGAAGGGGCACCTGTAAGACTGTTGCAATCTTCTCTGAAGGAAGGGGTACCTGCCAATTGATTGTATTTACTTACATAATCCTATTTATGCCAGTAATTACTGGTACAGATGTTTAATGTGATTGGTAACTCATGTTTGAAATTGGTGTATTTCTTTATAGATCAGACTCTTATTCTATGTAATCTACATACGTCACAGGCATCAAGAGATGTTGGTTTGATGTGCACTTTGTTACAGTTATAGCAATGTCTGTCAAGATCATCTATCTTTTATTACATTTTATGGTGATATCAGTTGTGTGGTTACATATCAGTATTCTCAAGCCAAGGAAGTCATTCTGTGGCTTGATGGCTTCCACCATGTTCATTGAAGCAAATCCAGACGATGCAACTGACCTCGTGACCCAGATTCAATGCAAGTCCATCATAACATGCATGTATTAAACAAAAATATATATATATCTTTCATATTATGTAGCTTGTTCAGGATATATTTCAAGTTGTAGTGCTTCAAAGTTTGGATTCAGGGTTGGCAAGATTGGTGTGTGATTTCATTGTTATTCATTCGGATGTTTTTGCCTCTGGGGAGAGTATTGCCAGATTGGTTTCTTGCTTGTCCCAAACTTTTCATCTTCCCTATCAGGGGTCCGGAAAATTTAAAATCCCAATCGGACATTTGCATTTAGGCCACGCCCCCTTCAAATAGCGTATTTTTAGTACGACTTTTCACACACATTACAAGTTTACGTATTCATAATATGATGAATTATGAATTGTTTCAATTTAAATTGTTTAATTCACCGGACGATTAATAACAAATAATATCATTTTAGATTTACATGGAAAACATACGTTTGTTTCTTTTATAATAACGATCTGTTAACGTAGTGAACGGTCTAATTAATATTCATGAGTTATATTCATGAGTCTGCTCAAGTGTACGCGTTGTAACATTTGGATCGAGACTATTATCCCATATTTGGTTATCACGTGACCTCACGGGAATTATTTTTTTTAAACTAAAGATTTTTTTAAAAACAAGACAGATAATTTAATCACAAATACAAAAATATCGTTGATAGCAATAGTTATTTGAATACTTTTTTCATCTGTACTTATTTATTGACCATAAAAAAATTGGATATCGATCGTCCAAGAAAGCAAAATGGCGGTCAATCAAGATTCAATATACGACTAGCT